ACGTCATTCTAAATCGAATATGGCGGACCATCCAAGATGGCGGAATGGTCATTTTTAATCTACTTCTACAAAATGGGTATCAAATAAAAGGGCTCGTTGATAGTAATTCGAGAAAGAATGTGACGTTATTCAATATGGCGAACCATCCAAGATGGCGGAATAGCTATTTTCAATATACTTCTACACTATGGGTATCAAAGGAAAAGTCTCGTTGAGAGTAAATCGAAAAATCCAGCAAGCGATAATCAAAAATTATAAATAAATTGAGAATAATAATAATTCACTGGTGGCATTTTTATATATATATATTCTATTCAGATATGTAATTTGAAAAAAAAAATCGAATCAGAAATGCTCGGTCAGCATACTCTAATATAGGTCAGCAAATTATACGGCCCCTGCGTCATTGTTGAAAATATTTCAAAATCGCAATACTCCCACTGTGCACAAATCATAAATTCTTTTCCATTGGCAGCAAACAGCGGTACCTATTTTTTATAAAAGGTCGTAAATCATGCGGCGAGGGTCAGAAGATGCGTGTCAAACCGCAGCGCTAATGAGTCGTCGTGAAAAAAACTTTGATACCGATAAAAAAGCGCATCCTTTTTTATTGCGATAACAATTTTTTTGATATGCCTAGAACTGGATGGCAGTAGATTTTCTATCGCTTCCACAATAATTGTTTCTGATTCGACCGTCATTATTCCGAGGTAATCCTAATTCAAATTATACGCGTAAATAAACGTTGATAACGTTATATTTTTCAAAATAGGTAATAATTAGGTTTTCCATGTTTCGAGAACCCAAGAAATATGATCGTTAATTGTGAGAGCCTCACCGTAATAACATTGCCGTATATTCTTGAATTTCTATAGGTATTTTAAAGCAGTCTGAAATGATATGAAATAATGATAATTTGATATCCCACTGAAATTATGAAATTTGTATTTTCTACACATGCCAGACCCTCGTAAACATTGCAAATGAGGAATGTATATATACCATCTCCATTCATAAATGTCAATTCCTATCAATTCTGAGAGCGGCGCCACTCTCTGGATACAAATTGTTGCCATGCAAGGGTTTTGTAGTCCCTAACTTTTTAGGTTAATTTTTCATTTTGAGTGGTTGAAAAAATTAGTACATATTTGTGAAGATCTAATCTATGTTCCTGTCGTCTCACTTTTTCGAAATTTGATTCAGTTTTTTCTAAAAAAATCGCTAAATAACGTGTTTTTGGATGATTTTCCAATTTTTTTTCCGGCGGAACCGAATCGAATTTCGAAAAAGTAAGACGACAGGAACATAGATAATATCTTCACGAGTATGTGTACAATTTTTTTCATATACTCAAAATGAAAACTGACCCTGAAAAGTTAGGGACTACGAAACCCTTGCATTATTGCTTTATATCATAGTACAACTTCCTCTTCATCAAATAATATTGTTAAGAAATTGAAAATGAAGCTTAAAAATATATCGGAGCATAATATGATATCATCAATGTTAACAGATGACTGCATGATACATTTTGAATTCCTCATCAATCATTTGATTGTAGTAAAATTATATAAAGAGTGCAAATGGATGTCGACGTCTGAAAAATATTCGATTAAGAAGAAGAGTAGGAATGTATCAAATAAATCAAAACTTGATATTTTACGTAGTGTATAGATCATCGGGAGTCGTTATTCTATGAAATGTGTAATGTATTTTGAGTAATATATAAAACTTTCATGTGATTTTTTTGTCTTTTCTCTAAAATTCAAATCTCAATTAATTCAACTGTTCTGTTCATAAATTCATAAATTGAGTACCTATTCAATATATTATACAACAAATTTTTAGAACTTTAAAACCTCAACTCTGATACACTTCAGATTTTCAATTCCTCTAACCTGTTTGTAGTTCAGCTTTCCAACAATTACAACTTTTAATAACTTTCACTTTCGAATCATCAAATAGATATTCCAATTATGCAACTTGTCACCATATGACATACATGATATATCAATCCATTACATTTTTTATCCTCAAAATCGGATTTTCAACTTTTCTGTCTTTCAAAATTGAATTTTGTCTCAAATTCTCATTATCCTCAACATCTCAGATTTTCTGTACTTCAATTTTTCAACTCTACGACCTGTTTGTTGTTCAGCTTTCTGACTTTTCATCATCTTCACTTTCACATTGTTGAATATTTCAATTCTCACTTCATACAATTTCATCCCGATTTCAATCCATTTCTCTGTAATTTTCAACTTCCAAAACCATTCATACTCATACATTTCAACTTCTCAATTCTTCAACCTGTTTGTTGTTCATTTCATTATCCACTATTTCAACCCTTTATCTCTCTCCAATTCTTAAGTACCTATTATGTTTTTTTACAAATTTTCAAGTTTTCAGGTTTGTAACGCACACGACTTCACTGTCTTTCAACATTTTCGATTTCTCAAAATTTTCAATTTCTCAACTTTTCAACCTTTTGGTCTTGCTAAATCACATTTTGCCTCAAATTCCCAATATCTCAAAGCTCATATTTTTCAGCTCTTCTGAACATGAACATCTCATACTTTTTCTTATTCAAGTTTTCCAATTTTCTTCATAAGAATTAATGTTCTACTTCTCAACTTTTCAACAAATCATATTTCAACTCATGCTTTTATCATATCTCAAGTGTTTTTGTATGACAGATTCATGATATAGGTAATATTATTATGATGGTTATCAGACAAATATATTATAACTAGCTGTACCCTGCGCGCGTTGGTTCGCCATCAACTAAAATAAATTTAAAGGAAAGACATTACACAAATATTCAATTTATTTTGAGTCATCAAATCATCGAAATCGGTCGTACCGTTAACGATTATATAACGGACATATAGACAAACATGGAAACATAATCACAAAACCCGTCCGCCATATTGGATGCGCCATTTTGAATTTTCTTATTTTGACGACGAAATCATTATCTCCGACCCCAAAAACCCTCAGATACCAATTTTGAATAGAATCGGTCCATAATTACAAAATTCGTCCGCCATATTGGATTCGTCATCTTGAATTTCCTAATTTTGACGAAAGAATCATAATCTCCGACCCTGAAAACCCCTAGATACCAATTTTCAATTAAATCTACTCATAATTAAAAAACTCGTCTGCCATAAGGGATCCGCCATTTTGAATTTCCTAATTTCAACGACGGAATCATAATCTCCGACTCCAAAAACCCCTAGATACAAATTTTTAATAGAATCGGTCAATAATCACAAAACTCGTCCGCCATATTGAATCCGCCATTTTGACTTTCCTAATTTTGACGAGAGAATCATAATCTCCGACCCCGAAAACCCCCAGCTACCAATTTTGAATAAAATCGGTCCATAATTACAAAACTCGTCTATTTGATTTTTTCAATTTTTGCCATATTTGATTTTTTCAATTTTTTTTCTACCTATACCATCCCTGAACTATAACGGAATAAACAAAAAAAAATTATCCAAATCAGTCGAACAGTTTACGATTTTATCGAGGACATACAGACAGACAGACAAACATTCATTTTTATAGAGAAGATGCAGAATAATTATTTTTATTCTGATCTGATTTTTTATCCAAGAATGGTAAAAGAGTGCATGCCACATTCTGGCAACGCTGGCACGGTTTCGAGGGTGCACGGCGCTATAAATAGACCAAATAGACCACAGACTGTCTGGACCTCGGATGAATTATTCGCACCAAGGATACTGGAGACATCTATGTATGTTCTGTTTCACTAATTTCAGTGTTGACCAAATCCCCATTCACGGTGTATATCTAGGGGAGTCGTTAATCTATGCTATCACCAAATCCCAGGGGCGGATTAAATGTCGACACCGTCCTAGGCAAGCATCTCATCGGCGCCTCCCTGGTGGTCATAAGATATTATAAATCATAACTACTAATATACGTGTTCAGGATGAAGAAAGTAAGAGGGGTAGTTATTGTGAATATCGGGAATTTCACGGGCCGCACATGTTCATATGAACTTTATTTTCTAAAATATCACAAGGAATCACCCCTTGAATTTTTTCGGTGTTATTTAGATACACCCTGTATATAATTACACGAGAGCTATTTTTTTGTCGAAGTAAACTTGACATGTATCAATAAGAATCTTGTTGCCAGGCAATTTAACGAAAAAAACTGCCTCTGAAAAAATTACGAGTCCGTAGGACGAGTAATTTTTTCTTGCAGTTTTTTGAGTTGAATTACCTAATATGACAACAAAATTCGAATTATAAATGCCAAGTTTACTTCGCCAAAAAAAAGCTAGTCTAATTCGGTAAGACAATTTAATTCATCAAACTTATGTTTTTGGCTGGCTGTCATGCTTTCAAAAGTTAGGTTCCGTTATTGTCGCTGGAAAAGTGAGGGCAAACTTTTCTCGCTGTCATAATGGCAAAAGCACGCGGCTTGTGGAATTTTTCATACATGAATTAAATTATTGTCTAGGTAGGTATATATATACTGTTATTTATTTCTTGGGTGTATTGTATTTTCGTTGAAATTATAAATCTTAACTCGTTCAACTACTTTCTTTATTTATTATTTTTCTTTTTTTTTTTTTCAATTGTCTTCATAACACACTAATCTATTTCAAAATAAATAATACAGGGTGACGATAATAAACAAATAAAAATATCTGCAACATATACTATTTTTGTAGAAGTAGGATAAAGGAATCAATAAACGGTGGAAGCAAAATGTCAAATTTGTCACCTGTCAAAAATGCCTTATTCATTAAATGGAAAAAATCGTCACATCTTTAGTTGCCCGATTACCATTTATACCATATGGCAACCGATTAAAAGTTATACATAGAATAATTTTTTTTATTCAAACTTTCAAGGTCAATTACTCCCCGTAACGAAGTGCTATAGACATTTGACCTTTCCGGACACTCCCCCTGTATAAAGAACATAGGGATTTGAAACAGAAATAAATACAATTGATTCATTTGAAATACATGTATATTTTCAAATTTCTCGATAACAATAATAGAAAAATAATATAGGATTCACACCATCTTCACCTCAAAAACTATACCTCTTACTAAACTAACACTAACAGTTGAATAAACATATATAGGCAAAATTATGGACCAGAATAGTTGCGATGTATATATATAGTTTCTTGAAAATTTCCCAGTGAATTTTCAGTTGTTTACCAAACATGTAATGTAATATAATAATAACAATAATACAATCTCATCTGTAAATCTTACAAATTGAAAATGGTATCCATTCAAACTGAACGAGTAAATGCTGGAAAAAGTTTTGAAAATTTTGTAGTACCCATTAGAAAATTGTGTTCGTCCTGCCACCAGATCGAAATTTATGGATGAGGAAAGAGAGCGCGAGGAAACCTGCATGCAGCATGCAGATCACAAAAAGCTAACAATAATTGGAAGGAAAACTAAAACATTTAGTATAATTTGATTCTACCACAATCTACTGTTTTGGAAAAATAATTTATATGTATGCAATAACATTTTGGAGAGTAGAAAAGCATCACAAACAGCTTAACAAGGGTTTTTTCTCGGCCCAAATCAACTAATATATACAGGCTGATTCACGGTGGAAGGCACATTAGACGTTTCTGGAGAACGTAACTTGGGATTATTCTGAAAATTTGATGCCTTGGATAATTAGTTGTGCTCTATCGACCTGAAATAGTCTCAGCGCTGCGACGTTGCCGCTTATATTGAAAAGTAGCAACAACTTTGATTTTTTAAATGAGACACCCTGTATATTATTCCATTTTCAGATTCTCCCTGAAGAGCTAATTTCATTGACCTATAACACTTGGGGTCTAGCAGTGACAATTACAGAGATATAGGGCGTGAAAAATCGAGATTTTTCAACTTTAAGATTTTTTTGTGTCGAAACTATTCATATTTGGACAAAACGGTTTTCATGTTCCTATCTCAACTTTTCATTTACTATCAATTGATATTCAATTAAAATAGGTACAGGGTGATTCAGAATTAATATTTTCAACCACCACTGTATATCTATTCCAATTAAATATCAGTACATGAAAAGTTGAGCTAGGGAGATGAAAACCGTTTCGACTAATTATGAATAGTTTCCACACAAGAAATTCTTCAAGTTTCACACCCTATCTTTGTTATCATTCCCGCTAGACCCCAAGTGCAATAGATCTATGAAATCAGCTCTTTAGGAAGAATCTGAAAATGGAATAATATATAGGGTGTCCCATTCAAAAAATCGAAGATGTTGCTACTTTTCAATATAAGCGGCATCGTCGCAGTGTTTAGAATATTTTAGGTGGATAGAACACAACTAATCATCTAAGAAACCAAATTTTCAGTAAAATCCTACCTTGCGTTCTCCAGAAACGTATAATGTGCCATCCACCGTGTATCAGCCCTAACAGTGTATAATATTTTTATTTAAACGCTCTATATAATTATTTCCTCACAATAAGAAAGAAGTTTCCGAAAATATCACACTAATATATCATCTTTCGTACTTCTTGAAATACGGGCATTAAAATGTTTTAATCGATTTTTGAATTACTTTGAAGAGATGGCCATGATAACTTTTGCAAATCTAGCTATATGCATGGTGGAAATATAATATGGTGCGCTACTCAGGTATCTTGAATTCGTCTTTTCAGCGCATTACGTCATTGCTAGTCTACACTCGCACCAAAATGATAACGGACCCTCGGGTGAATTGATAACTGAGCTTAGACTGTGAGCAATTGTTTTACTCGCAGTGACGTATACGAAGATACGTCGTAGCACACCATACTAAAATTCCATCATGGCTATATGTTCAGGCCTAAGGGTGTAATTTAATTGATGGCTACAAATATAGTTAATGGTCCTTAGCTCATTTAAAAATGACATGTTCATATGAACATATGCCCTAAACCTCTTAACTTAAAATTTTATTTTCTCTTTATTATTGATTAAAGAAGAAACAACTGTCACGTTTATGTATACATGTCGAATGTCGATATTTTAAATACAAAATAGGACACCAGTCTACTAGTTCAAAATAATTTTGTTGTACCACGAATTCATGAAAATAGTTTTAGTTTTTTTAGGCAGAAACGGAGCGTCGAACGAAAAAAGTTTCTATACGTTTTCAAGTCCAAATTGAGACAGTGTTTAGACGTTATTACGACGTCGATTTATTGACGGTATAGTGGTCTAATTGTTGCAAAACAAATGGGGATTTCAAAAATGATTTTTATATTCGGAGAAAGCCAATATTTTTTTGGAAAAACCTCCAGTATACATCCCATACGGACGCTATTGGTAGAAATATTGAAAAATCTCCTGCATCAAAAAATGCCTATATGTGCTCAGTAGGTGTAGGTGCATATAAAATTTCGTTAAAATTGAAGTTGATAAGAAAACGAATTTTTTCTTGGAATTTTAACACCCTATATAGCTCAAAATTTGAGAGAATATGTTCATATAAACTTTTCTTCTTGAAATGAGCTGAGGAACCATATCCTATATTCTTAGCCATCAATTAAATTACACCCTGTATATTCACTATTTTGCTAGTCAATATTGTAATCATTGTCATGGCCTACTTCCGAAAATCAATTAATCGATTAAATTCTGTAAGTGATGAATGCTTGATCATCTTGAGTTAACATGACCTATACCGGGTGACACAGATTCATGGTCTCCTTTTTTTTCTAGCTATAACTCTGAATTTTGAGTCATCGAATATGCTCACTAGACGGCACTTTCTCACATTTTAGGAATTATTTTTCATCATCCGATTTTCCTGGAAATGATATGAACTTTAGATTTTCAATTGAAACATTTCATTTCATGATTGGTAAGATATTATTGTAACGAATCCAACGATACCTGCTGGTTTGATAGAATTATTTCATATAATTACGAAAATTTTCGCGTTCGAGGTTTACATTTGCTCAATGGCTGTGACGCACAGAACTCATAATCTTCATATCTCATGACTAGAGTCACTAGTTAGATGAGAGTTCGGACACAGAAATAACAACAACTGTTGGTGTTTTTGAATGTTTAGATTCATTATCTAACTTGAATTGTGACGAGCACCATAGTCGTTCCGCGCTTTTTCGTTAAAAATTGTTTGAATTTGACAATAAATACTATGAACGTCATAATTGAACTATAATTTCATAAACTATTGAGAAGAAAGAATGAATGAAAATGTCCTGTTGTGTAAAGAATTGTGGGAGTTCTGAAGAGAATGGATTTAATTTATATAATTCGCCAAAGGATCAACCCCATTCTCTTTTGGAAGGAATGTATGAAACGGCCTGGATGAAGAATTAATTTGAAGACAAGCAAAATTTGTGGGGTACATACATTAAAATTCACTTTCTTTAAACTATATATTAGGCCCATTTTCAAACAGAAGATTTTGAGATACGTTTGAGAGAATTCATTTACAAAACAGACTATTTGAAACGAGAATTCATCATCATCATCACACAAAATGCAAAACGAAACTATTATGGAGAAAGAGGAATTGATTGCAAAACTACGTAATGACATTGAAAATATGAGAACAGAACTGAGGAAATCAAGTTAATTGCAACGTGATATATCATTGAATGGCGTTTTTAATACCGACCAAACTAGCTATAAGTAGGTCATCAAAATGTTGTTATGCATGCAAGCTATAAATTGAAGTGGGTGTTTATACGCTATTCTTATTTCACATCTATGGCTATGATTGATTTGACAGAAAATGTAACGTCTAAAATCGTATCTGACAATCAGGCGCTACCAGGGACATTGAAAAGATAAAGAGCAGAATATATGTCTTATTCTTTTATTCACTCATACCATTGTAATATAGAAAATAGAAAAGGACAGAAGTTCAGCTATGTCCGAACTCTTATCTAACTAATACCATCCAGTGACTCTACATTTTGCTAGTATCAGACGCAATATGACACTTTCGGTTTGGCAGGAAGTGCACCTAATATTTTAATTTCGAATACAAAGTATAAAATTACTTTTCCAACTATGTATCACAATCATACTGTTCAAAAAAAAAATTTTAATAAAATATCTGCATTATATGAAAAGACATTGAAAGTACTGTATCGTTTACCATATGATACACCAACAAATCAATTATATAAAATAACTGAATCATTCTCATTACAAGAAATGTTCAGAATTGAAAGACTGAAAATTACATACAATATCATAAATAAAAGATTGAAATCTAACTTTAGTATAACACGAAACAATGAAATTCATAATTACCAAACTAGACACATATGGTTTATTTCATCTTGATATCGCTAATTCTTCTATAGGCCAAAAAAGATTCACCCACGCTGCTCTCTTGGAATATAACAAATTACCAGATAATATAAAAAATTGCAGAAATACAATGAAATTCAAATACCAGCTTAAAAAATTTATCATTTCTGAACGAAATAGATGATTTTTTTTCTCAACTTTTGATTCATATTCAAATTGATTTTTGCTCACCAATATGAAATGATTTGTCAAAATTTAATACTTAATGTTTTCAAATATTATATTATTTATTAGTTAATTATAATTGTTGAGTGTTAGGTATTATTGTTATCTATACTTCCTTATACCAGAACTTGATTCTGACTGGAAGTAACATTTTCAATAAATAAATAAAATACTTTCAATCCACAATCTAGTCATATACTAGAGATTTTACAAAAAAATACATTTTGTATTACCCTCCTAACTGAATATTTGCAAAATAATGTGCTATTTGCATATTGAAACAATAGCATGTGAGTAATAACAACTCGATGTCTAAATTTTCACACAATCATTTTTATGCACACCAACTATTTTTTACAATTTCAGTTTTTCTTTATATTTCAACACCACTGCTATTTTTTTTTTTCAGGAAAGATTTGAATGTGTTTGTCTGAATTGAATAGGCTCCTAAACTGCTGGACGGATTTGAAAAATTCTTTCACCATTAGAAGCCGACATCATCTTTGATGATCATAGGCTACTTTTACGTCTGAACCGATTGGGTTGAAATTTCCTGTTTCCTGGATGATTTGAAAATACAATTGAACGCGGTGGGTGACGCTACGCTCGGCTATGAACTGTCAGCCCCGGCAGTCAATCTACTACTTTTCTGCCAAGTAAAACAAATAACTATTTGTATAAAATATTTTATTTATGAAATCTTAATTATATGAGTAGAGTGTAGATTGACAGTATGATTGTGTTATAATGTTGGGAATGTGATTTTATACTGAATCGTACTTTCCAGAGAAAAATATACTTTGTATTTGAAACAAAAAAAATGGATTCACTTCCGGTTAAACCGGAAGTGGCATATTTGGTCCGATACTAGCGAAATTATATACTCATGAAATCAAATCGATGTACCAAATTCTAAACATACATTCAAAATAGCAAGAAAGGTACAGGGGGTAAATTGGTTCCCGGTCACCCAGTATAGCTAGAAAAACCAAGGAGGAAAGGGGGTACACCATGAACCTGTGTCACTCGGTATGGATCGCGTTAGCTCATAAAGATGGCTATCTAAGAAAGTAGACAGTCATAACTTGAAATTCCGCAAAATTCGTTTTTCTACATCAATAGACATAAAATTATGCAGATTTACTGAACAAACCGTCACAATTCAAATGCACGATACTCGTACTGGGGGGCGGTACTATCGAACGGTATAAATAAAAAAATCATAGGTTTGCTACCTGCAAGAGAATCACATTTTGAGAAGTGCCTACAAATATTCGTGTTACTCTGAATGAGATAGTCATAGTTCATCTTAGTCTTCTCCAAGAAGGATATCATAATTCAGGTGAAAATCTTTCGTGAATTGAATTGAATGAAAATATGTCAGTCTTCTCAATAGTTATTCCGTGTTTTTATTGCCATATAAAAAATGTGCCATTCCCCCCCGTTCGCAGATACAGTGCCTATTAAGTATAATTTCGTCAAAAGCCTGATGTATAATGGTAATTTTGTTCGTATACAGTTATTTCGCAGGTGCGATTATACAGGGTGAGTTAGAATGAGAGAATATGTCCTAAAATGCCCTGGAGCAAAAAATTAGAAACTTGGTCTTATAATATTCCAGATTAATCAGTGTAGTCACATGTAGTTTCCATTTTTGAATTTTGATTACCTGTGACGCAGTTACGGTCGTATGTCGCCATATTTTCCTCCATATACCGCAAAGTTTCAAATTGCTCCTCTCAACATTATTCATTATTTAATCGTGACAGTCTTTTTCTCAGGTAGCGAATATACCCTGTATTTTGGGAAATACCAACCTACTGAAAAATAACAAACAAAAATTGATCGTGATGACAGATAGCGTGACAAGAGCGCGAGACAAAAGAAATTCAATCTCGTCGCATGTTGTAGAGACATAAAAAAGTGTAGCAGGCGGCCATGCCCAGGCCGAAGGAGAGCGCATGTCTGAGCCACGCCGTGGGCACCACCAGCTCCGGTCTGAGCAGCACGCTCAGGTAGCTAAGCTTGCCTTTGGTGTAGGGCGGGTACCTGAAATGTCGGAGCCGCCATCTTCAGTTTTCCAATTTTGACAAAAGAATCATGATTACCAATTTTGAATAGATTCGGATCATAATTACAAAACTCGTCCGCCATATTGGACCCTCCATCTTGAATTACCAAATTTTGACGAAGTACTCATACTCTCCGACCCCGAAAACTCTAAGATACCAATTTGAATAGAATCCGATTATAATTACGAAACTCGTTCGCTATATTGGATCCGCCATCCTAAATTTTCGAAAATTGACGAAAGAATCATAATCTTCGTCCCCAAAAACCCCCAAATACCAATGTTGAATAGATTCGGATCATAATTACAAAACTCGTCCGCCATATTGAAGTCGTCATTTTGAATTTTTCAATTTAGCAGCATAATTGCCGTCTCCAAAAACCCTCAGATACCAATTTTGAATAAACTCGGATCGTGACTACAAACTCGTTCACTATATTGGAACCGCCATCTTAAATAACTTCCCAATTTTGACGAAAGAATCATAATCTCCGACTCCGAAAACCCCCAGAAAAAAAAAAGAGAAAAGAGGAAAATGGAGAAAGAGGAACAGAGGAAACGTGAAAACTATACAGAATAGAAACAGGGAAGTTGATATGAGAAAAGAAGAATAAACAGAACGAGGAAGAATAAGAACAACAGGATCACGAAAAGAAGCCGACAAATGAGGATATTTTTTTCTCATACCGACCTGGCTCTAGACAGCATCTCGCCAACAAAGCCTGAATTCTTCTTCAGCACGTCCTTCTCGTGCGTGAATATTAGAAGCTACAGCGTCAAAAAACAGAGAAAAAAGGAGGAAAACAGAGAGATAAAACGAGGAGAAAAGAGAAAAAACAGGATGACGAGACAAGGGCAAATAAAATGGGGAGAAGAGATATTACCAACCTGGCTTTGGAAAGCTTGCCCAGATTGCCCAAATTGTGTGAACGCTATGAAGCCGTGCCAGACGAGGCCGTGCCCATGCCGCAGCCGCCCACGCCGCCGAAGGGCAGCCCGGGCACCGTCAAAAACCAGAGAAAAAAGAAGAAAAACAGAGAGAGAAAACGAGAAAAAAATCACGAGAAAAAGACAGATACAATGGGGAGAAGAAGGGATGACACCGACCTGGCTCTGGACAGCATCTCACCCACAAAGCCCAAGTTCTTCCTGCCCATGCCACTGCCACCCACGCCGTTGAAGGGCAGTCCAGCCACCGTCGAATAACAGAGAAAAAAGAAGAAAAACAGAGAGGAAACGAGAAAAAAAATCACGAGAAAAAGACAGATACAATGGGGAGAAGAAGGGATGATACCGACCTGGCTCTGGACAGCATCTCACCCACAAAGCCCAAGTTCTTCCTCAGCACGCCCTTCTCGTGCGTGAATGCTAGGAAGCTGTGCCTGCCGTGGTAGCTGCCCATGCCGCTGCCGCCCACGCCTCCGAAGGGCAGCGTGTTCACCGTCAAGTGCATGATGGTGTCGTTGACGGTGACGCCGCCCGCCGAGGTTTCTCGAAGGATGCGGTCGACGTCTCGCGTACTGTGAACGAAAAAAATTTTGTAACTTGGGCATGGACTCCAGTCAGATACTAATTGAAACTGGTGGGTGTTTGTTTATAGGATATTCACTTTCTGGGATATCCAGCGTCTGGTTTATTATGGTAATAGTTTTAATTTTTCGTTGATTAACTAAAATATACTTAAAATCGAGTGATTCCGATTACGTATGCATGGAGTAGAATGGAATCAAATATAAAAGAAACAGAGGCTGAAATTGAAAATTGAATGCAATAATTATGATAGAGTGGGAACCTATTCACCAGAATCTTATAAATACCTTGATAGAAAGTATACCCAACAGAGCTTTATCTCTGCTACGGTCAAGAGGATGCTCAACTACCTATACCAAAAATGTATGTGATACTTATTTTTCTATACTTTTTATATTGTCTTCATCAATAATTTTTAAGAGACGTGGACATTGATTAATATAATTTCAACTAATTCTATTCAAGAAAAAATATTGAACTGGAACACTGTCATGATTCAATATTATGATGCACTCATCCTTCCCTGCCTATGTCACTCATGATTTCCATTCTTTTGAATGTCATCATAATATCATTTCTTCGTGAAAGACGTTCACCGCAAACAAAATCAATACCTGATAATAGTGAATCTACTACATGTGTGATCCTGTGAACTTCTTCATTCTCCTCTCCGAGTTACCTTTAGAACATGTATCACAAACTGAGCGACGCCACATGGTGAGGATACCTACGACCTAAATCTACACTCTTTTATCGCCAGAAAACACCTCAATAAACCTCCCAGAAATTAAAGTATCAAAGTATGCGTTCTCTTATAAAATGATATTCATATTTCTGTAATGGTTGTGACAATTCCAAATTTTTCAAAACCATTTCGAGAAAACTGAAAAAATTACATGTTTCTTCCAAATGGAAAGCGTTTAAAATTTGGGAAATATTGCCCAGCTTTGATTATCATTCTGTGTAGAACCTCAATCTGAGTATATACAATAATCATTCCCATAAGCTCGATAGTCAATGAAACATTGGCGCACCCAGACGAGGGGCACAGGGGTATCCCCCCCCAAACTTCAAGAAAATAAATGTACCATGAAAGCTTATCTTCTTAGATGTGGCCCAGTCACAGTTCATCATCTCATTGTTCTCAGCAGAGAAACATCTCGGATACAGTGTTCCTGTATCTAAAATCCTTCAACTTGAGAATTCAGACTTGCGTTTGCGATGTGTAAAGCCGAAGAAACAATCTCCACCATCCAATACGTGCGAGACAATGCCGAGGCGCAGTTCAAGAATATTTTCGAGTAAGCAAAACATATCGCTATGTTTGACCATTACCATTGTCGATCTAAATGAAAACCTAGTAGGTGACCTAGTGCGAGGAGGTATAATATTGTCTGTTCAGTGAATCAAACCATCTCTGCCTGTCAAGTGGCACTGGGGACTCATAACTTGTGGATGTGTTGAACTTTGATTTCGAATCCTTGAAACTTACAATCATACCTAATTATTTCTTCTAGTATTGGTTGTTCTATTAAAGTTTGTTGATTGGTTTGTGAGTGCGATTGTGTTATTTTGCAATGTCATCTGAAAACTTTGCACTCCAGGAGGTGGAGGTGTAAAATTATCAAGACATGATTTCCCCAATCCCCACTGTTGTGAATTTGAGCCTCAAATTCTGCGGCATCAACGGGGTTATGCCATATTCATTGAATTCCAAGGTGAAATTCTTTTCTCAAATTGCATAATATTTGAAACTTAATGCATTGATATTTCAGGAATGGGAGTTTTTGAAGTAAGCGAACATGATACTGTATGTTTCCAACATTCCAAGGGAACTGTTTCTTGCCAATGAAGAATAGGAATTGGTTTTTGAAGAAGGGTTCGGTTCCAAGTTTGTTTAAGGTAGGTATATATAAATAAAATGATATTTAACAACAAGTTTGTACCTATACAAACTTTTTGTAGTAATCAGCTTATCAGTTTCTAGTTCACTAGAACTATTAGTTTCAGTATAAAAATTACCAAGAAGTTGACTTTGGGTCCTCTGAAAATTGTTCCATAGTCAAAAGTCATTAAATTCATTTCAGAATGGGACAGGGCATTGAAACTAGGGACAAAATAGGTATGAATATTTTTATAATTTCAGACTCATCAATGTAGTTTGGAATATGAAGCTGAAGAGGAAATCCTTCCTTAAGGAACACGACCTAAAGATGAAGAAGCATCTGAAGAGTAAACGGGCATTTGAACAGATATTATAGAATAATAATAAATGATAAAATTTATTCAATATGTTGACATAATATGAATTGAAAATATACATATTGGTATTGAATGTTCCTGTAATTTGATTTGTGGCAATTATAGACACATCTCATATTTAGTGAAGTTAGTGGCTTCAATAAGATGATTTTATAAAAAATAATCATGAATCATAATCGTAAACGAATATTTCACCTATACCTTGGTACAATATATATAGTGTTTTCAAAGTTACCTACCAATACATCTGTACAACAATAAACAGGTTATCAGAAGAGAAAAAACTAGTAGAATAAAAATTGAAATAATTCATTCGTAATGAAAATAAATTCTAAATATCCCAGCATCTTGACAAAGAACCCTGAATAATAGGAATAAACCATATATCTGAAGATAATTTCTATGTAATCTTGAAATCGCTTTACTCTAGGGAAATTTTGATTGGCTCACTATGAAATTGGTCCTGAGTGTGCTTGAGTGGAATATCACATGTTCCTCATCATGTAATTGATTGCTTGACAAATAAATAAATTGAATATACATTTTTCCAAAAAATCTTGTGAACTGGATATTTTTGCAAGTCAAATCATCTGAATTCTCTCAATAATCGATTAATCTCATGACTGATTCAATGCATCTACTATGGAAGCAAAATGTAGGTAATATAAGCAGGAGGTTCAAAAAATTAATCAGCTGATATCATGCAAAAAATCTAGATATAGGCACATTATTATGTAGGTCAAAAACTAACATCAATATGTATCAAATTCTCCTCAAGTCCCTGATACTGTAGCTTGATAATAATGAAGGGCTAGGATAGGCACCCAGTATTACACAGACACTATTAACAAAATAAGGGACTGCCTACTACCAAAGCTCTACTTTCAAGGAGGTACCTACCTATAAAACATATAATGATATTTTGTGTTTGGAGCAGAATATCCATGACATTGATGAAATAACCAGATTGAGTCTAACCTTATTGCTTCCAAATATTCATTTCAGATGGGAAAGTTTCCATTCTGTTCTCGAACATCATCATCCTTCTGGTACATTTCTTTTGAACATTACAATTTGTTTGTATCACTCATAGTTTTTCGTTTTTCAACTGAAAAGCTATCCATGTAGGTACTCTGTGCTGTAGGTAGGTACCTGAAATTCTCATTCAAGTTTAGGTAGATGATTTTCATACTCGATAATAACTTTCCTGATAATGTTTCATCTTCGGGTTTCAACATGACAGATTTTTATTTACAAACTTGACAGGAACATTGAAAAAAATTTCGGTTAGGAATACAAAATGAATAACTTAGTTTACTCAGTTCACGTAGATTTCTCCGACGTACATCATTTCTTCATTTTTGTCTTCAATGAACAGACAATATTATAGCTCTTGCCTACTTACTACCTAACTAGGTTGTCATCTAGAACGACAATGGTTTGACAATTAAATCAAAATCCCAAGATTGACATCAAATCAAGTTCTCATACAATGGGTTGATTCATATTCATCTGATTTAAAATATCGATTTGCCAATCATAACTATGTAATTTCTTGAAAAAAATCATGGTATTACTACCAACAGAAAATTTTCCTTCTGGGTCTTGCTGAGTTTTATAGTGATGATATCCAGGATTTCAGCAGTATTTTGGAGGCAGAACTGTGTCTGTGATACCAAGAATTCAGCAAAACAAGTCATATACAAATACCAGTCCTATTTGAGAAAAACAACCAGTGAAAAATAGGCTAAATGGACTAGCACATTTGGTTATTCATAAAGAAATCCACGTTGACCCGAAGGATGTGATGGCAATTCTAAGAGATAATGGACCAAGAAGGCTTGATTTTCTTTCATGAATATTGAAATATATTATTTATATTTCACTCATTTTTACTCATCTTTTTCCTCGACTTTTCCTATCATCGAAATGCGTTTTCCATAGTTGAAGAACCTTCAAGTTTGCTATTCTTATAGCATTCTATCATAATTCTGAAGTTCCCATTACCTTGCCTCAAAAAAACGCCTGCGGTGTTGATTCAATGTGACAATTCCGTGTGCCTCCCCCCATAATATCATTCTGGGCGCGGCTTCGCAATGAAACGAACATCAAATTTGATCGAAAAATTTCGATTTCACCTCTTGATTGTTGAGCAGTCGAGTATTTTTTTCAGTTCATCACAGTGTCTATAATTATCCAGTGCGATTTTCGACCGTCGTACTTACTTGTTGGAGAAAATGTACATGGCGAGCGGCTTTTCTCGCTCGTTGATGAAACGAATCGCCTCCGCCACATCCCGAATTGGCACGATTGGCAACAGCGGCCCGAAGATCTCCTCCCGCATGATGACGTCATCGCCTTTGACGTCCGTCAACACTGTCGGCGCTATGTAGCGGTCGCCGGCGTCTGTTTCGCCGCCCACAGCAACCTTACACCTTACAGAAGAAAAAACTGTGTTTATTATTCATCTGGTATTAGATATATAAATCATTCATTTAACTACGTCGCATACAAAGTATATTTGTAGCAGATCAGAATCGGAGAAGGGAGAACGGGACATTGGACCATTCTGAAAATTTGGTTATCCGAGTAGTTGCTCTTGGTCTATCGATCTGAAATATTTTCAGCAATGCAGCGTTGCCGCTTATACCAGAAAGTAGTAGCAACTTTGATATTTCAAATGGAACACCCTGTATTTCATTTCATTTTTAGATTCTCCCTGAAGAGCTGATTTCATCAATGCATCACACTTGGGGTCTGGCGGGAATGATTACAGATATATATGTATTGAATAATATACGACTGCATTATATTATGATGCAATAGTAAATATCGGGGAGTTCAGTCAATCGGGCTACAAGCAAACTACTTTATTGCTATGCCAAGCATGCGAACATTTTTATTTTCTTCTTCAAGGCTGAAATAATACATTGTATATGAAACATTTTGTTACAAGTCAATTCAACAAAAACAAGAACTTACTTGCAATGCGAGTTAGAAGGTATAAATTGGAATAATAATGAGTTTAAAAAAATATAGATGATGTAGACATAAAAATTGATAGGACAGTGACAAAAGTCATATAATTTATATACCGGAAGAAATGAAATCATAAAATTAGATTGTTGTTGAATATTTTATAAGATAGAGTAATTTTGAATATCATCATGAACAAACGATAATAAATAATAATATATCTGACTGAGATTATCAATATCTGTTTTCTTATTCATAGTGTATTTCTCATTATTAATTTCAATTATCCATATTAATCGCTGTGCCGTGGATTTGGCTCAGACTGAGGGGTGACACAGGTTGGTTTTTGAGATCTACCATTCAATTGGTATCGGATGTCATAATTCTTATCTCGTTATCAAATCGCGAAATCGAGTGCAAATTTCCGCACAGAAAAGTGCAATTTTCAATTATTTTGCTCAGGATAGTGATTTGCACAGATGCCGTTCCATGAATGTTTTTACTTTCATTTGGGACATTATATCAATTCGTTATCAGATGACGGTAGAAATCTGCAGCCGGCTCTCCCACTAATAGCAGTGGAATCGAAATCGAGAACGGTGCGACTAGGTGCGACTATCTTTTCCTTATCAGAAATGTCAGAGTTGCTTTGTCGCTCAAAAAGTTGAATTATTGATAATACATTCGGGTTCGCTGTTCCACATGAAATGGACTCATTGTGGTTTCTCTGTGAGCACTGCCAGAAACAGTTTTATGAATGTTCATTGTCAATGATGTTCAATAGGCGAGAACACAATAGCACGAATTCAGTTCAAATGTGCATAAGAAATAAATATAATATCGAAATAATGTGTACCAGTAGTTTTTTGAACTATAAATGCTGTCATTATCCAAAGAACGCGTTTCCAAAACCATACAAATTTGTGGACCATTCAAAAAACCAATAATGGCGGATACGTGATGACGTAACAAGTATTGGCGTGCATATGGCAACGCTGAACTGGACCTTCAAAATATTCTAACCTATTTCCTAACCTAAAAAACCGAACTCATAAACATCAAAATATCAGAGTTCCTGAAATTTTTCATCTGCTTAATAGAGTTGAATATTTTCTTATATATTCAAATCATTGTGACTATTATTGTGACGTAGTCTGATGGTTCATGTTTATTGATTGGAGTTATGAAGCCAGTATTCGAAGAAGCAATCACAATCTTCCAGTAGTTGATTCAACTATGGTTTTTGAATTCTGCAAGTAAAAAGAACTGGCATGAGCTGTATCATAAAGGTGAAAATTAGTCCAGAACAAAAAATTCGTCCAACACCATAAATGGTTGAGGCTGAGATTCATGAAGCTGAAGAAACTGTAGTTTCAAAAGGTAAATGGTACATAAATTTTTGACTTTTTTATAAACTGTATTCTTATATATTCTTAGGTAGATGTAAACACAGTGTGGCTTTTTTATTATGGTTACATCGAAGATCAGAAGAACCCTCTGTACCATCTCTGTGCCTTCTATGGAGTGATATTGAAAAGTGTCCAACTCAGTGTCCAAACTTACAAAATTTTGAGCTACCTATCAACATTCATGCCACTTGTAGAATTAGCACCAAAACAAGTTCCTACCCTTCCAGTGATTTCATCAACATATATCTTGAAGAACTTTTTCAAGTAGGTGGAAAACATGGATGCATGCCAAGGATCACAGTTTTTGAAAGAATTTGATTCTGATTCATAAACTAATTATTTTGTCCAGGAAACATGGATGAATGTTTTCTGACTCCTGGGGGATTCTAAGACTCCATTCATCAGAATATCAGTGACAGTGATTGTGAATTGGTGCAAGATTTAACAGTGAATAAAAATAAAACATCATTATCAGCATGGTTTGAAGTTTGCTATGGAAGAATTACTGCTTCAATGCTATATGAGGCACAAAATGCAAGACATTCATAGTTACATTGGATGAGCAGGAGAATTTTGAGAATAATGGTAGTTTTCAGTTACATGAAATGAAGTGTCATATGACCCTATATTCCTTTAAAAAATTATGAAAGATGCTGAATATTTTTGGCAAACTGTTATTTTCACCCATTTAATAAAATTATAAAATATCAACAGTACTTTTTTCTTCTCTTATTTCAAAATAGGACTTATTTAGAGCTCAGGTGTGTAAAATGACTAACATATTTCATCATACAAAACTTCAGAATCCCTTCTTATATTGATGATACACCATACCTTCACAACCTGAAGATCTTGCTGGATATGGTAGGTATATGAAATTCATGATTACTTCTTGTAGAACTACCTAGTTCATTCATATTTTATTAATGTCAGTGGAATATTAGTAAAGAAGAACAATAACTATATCAATACACCAAGAAAGTAATGAAAAGTCATAATCTTCATGAATACATGAATTCTATAGTAGGAAAAAATCCAGTAAGTATAAACCAAGAAAGTACTGGCCTATCTAGAAATGATGGAAGATGCAACATCAATTCGAAAAACAAACTCAAAATCATAAGAGCCAAAATTACTAGATAGGTATTGTCACTATTTTATGTGGGGAAAATTTTGTCAAAAAAGTAAACAAATAGGTAGTACACATGAATTATCAAATGCCCCCATCTTCAAAATAAAACAAGAATGCTCAAGAATGTTGGTGGAAATTTTCATTTATTGTCCACTTCATATAGTAGATATGATTATAGAACAGTTGAATATCAAAAGACCTCCTAATAGATATATTTCATTTCAAGAACGAATATAGATGTATAACATAGAAATATTATATCAATATCTTGTCCAGATCATCACAAATATTGTAAAAAAACAAATAAACTGGTAATAATCACAAACCTATTTGTAATATCAATCAGCAATAGTCCTGAGTCATTTTATCACAATATGTTATGGGACTGTTGATTTGGTTCTGGTTCATAGTACCTATTTGATGTCAGTCTCTTCCATGACAGGTTCCTTTTCAGGTTCTTCAAGAAAACTTTCTTCAGCTTAAACACTCACTGAGACTTCCAAGACTTTTCCTCAAGGAGAGTCAATATGAGGAAAGTTCCATTTAATCTTATCTCCCAAATTTTCAAGGGATTATTGAGATCTCCTTTTTCGTGCTGAAGATGAAAGTTAGGATTTTGATGGGTGTTCTCTCAGTTTTGGACTTTTAATGAATATATGAGGAATCACATCTTCGCAGGCATTTGAACTCTAGATCCAAGGAGTTTTGATTCCAGTTCAACATGTAGAACAAATTGATAATGATTTTATAATCAATCCATGTTGAAGAAAAAATTCTACTCACATCAAAATGATCGTCACAGCAAAATATATTATTTGATTTCAGGTATGGTCTATCAACAGCAACACACCAATTTTTCTAATGTCTTCCTTCAGAGGAACCAGAATAAACAGTTTATCCCTCGGTTTATCCATATACTTTGTTCACTGTTGATTAAGCAGGATGGAACCAAGTTTGTGGCATTTCCATACAGCCACTGCCATCCCAGAAGTGTGAATCAATGTTGATGAGAACAAACAAATAATTCGTTTGGCAGTACAATTAAAAATTATATAGGCCGACAAAAACAAATAAACAATAAAATAAAATAACAAGTGACAGATGAACGAATTGTCAACTGTCCACACTGTCAACAGTCCAGAAGATATTAAGCGACGTTGCCGGATCACCGTCTAATACTTGTCACGTCACATTAACGCGCCATATTCCAGCTCGTTTGAACGGGATCAATACTTTGCGCGAATTTTTTGTGGAAAAATTACTTCGAATTAAAATCTGAAAAAAATACCTGAGACTTTTATCGTCATACTGAAGGTCATGGCATTTTTTCCAGAAATTAGTGATCTCGCCTATTGAATGTCGACAATAATGATTTAGCATTGAAGTGTCGTTTACGAAGTTAATATGCTAACTAGGTAATTCTGTATCTTGATAATTTCTTCATCATCGCTTGTATCCGAAGATTCCATGATTTCGCAAATTATTGTAATAAACTTCAGTGAGACATTCATAATTATTCAAATTCCAAACATTTTCCCACTGGAATATTTAAGGTTATGCGTATCGCATCGTCGTACAAAACACGGTTCTGAAAACTCGAACTTTGAGCGAGCATCGAGCAAGCTTGAAAGGCAGTGGAAATTTAATCACGACGAAAGTTCGCCCTTTAAATTCTCAGTGGACCACGCAAAACGCGCTCAGTGCCGACAAAGTACGAGCTAGTGTGACGAGTGGAAAACGCTATAAAATCACTTATTTTACTAGAAAATTGAGATCACTTGACATTTCACCAAAGTCAAACTAACTCCCATGCTCTGTATAAAACAAACTGTACAGGGTTTTAAAGGAAAAGTCCTATTCGCAAACCAGATGGAAGCAAACTGATGTCGGTGCCTGAGGGTCGATTCTCATGAAAAACTCAATGGTGAAATCCGCATATCGATATCTGTCTTCGATTCGGAGTTACAAGGTGTTTTTCGAAAATGAGTATTTTTGCAAAGTGGCTACAGATATTTTTTCATCAAAAATTGTCTGTTCTTATGAAAATAAGTGCAAAGCATTGAGTTTGTGGTGAAAGTTGTTCTCGAGGCATTGAAATCGGCCTTTCTATATCTAGTTCAAGAATATAACTTGTTCTCCTTGAAAGAAAAGTTCTATTTTGCAACTAGGTATACGGTGACTAATTTCAGTGCCTGAGGATCAATTTTGATGACAAACACAATGCTTTGAAAACGTTTTCATGAATACTGAGAATTTTCGCAAAAAAAGAGTTTTAGATACTTTTCAAAAATTCACATTTCTGAGAAACACCTTGTAACTATGGAATTAAGATAGATATCGATATGCGGTTTTCACCTTTGAGTCTGTCATGTGAATTGATCAACAGGCACCGACATCAGTTTTTTTTATCTTGTACGGGAATAGGACTTTCCCTTTAAAAGTGCCCAATTTGGCCCACCCTGTACAAAGGAAAAGCTTGCGCCCATGGGAACTTTTGATCAGAATAACATAAACTACAAAATACCGATAATTTGACCAAAACCCATTTCTCTGGTCTGTGCGGGGTTCAATTTCCGAAAAAAAAAAAAAAAACGATAACTCACCCTTCCAGTAGCGCAGTCACTCTCCGGAAATGCCGGTCGTTGACGATTCGGCCGTAGTCGCCGCTCTCCTGCGGCTTCTTCCCGTAATACTCCTCGATCACCCTTCTGCACACGCGCACGAGGTCCTGCTGCACCTCTTTGGTGCACAGCAGGTAGTCAGGCGCCACGCAGGTCTGCCCCGCGTTGGCGCACTTGCCCCAAAGGATGCGGCGGGCGGCCGTCTCGAGGTCGGCCGTGTTGTCAAGGTAGACGGGACTTTTGCCTGTGTGGGAAGTGAGTAAGTAAGTAAGTAAGAGCATCAGCGTACGTTTGGGTGCTGAGCCCCATACATGAGAACAGTATTCTAAAACTGGCCGTATATGTGCTCTGTAGATCATGAGAAGCTGTTGAGGTGTGATAGTTATTTATGTACCAAGTGCGTTATATAGATCCTAACGCCCGGAGGGTAACATTCACCCGAGGGCCTTTGACCCGAGGGATGAATGCTGCCCGATAAGCGTTAGGATCTAGTAACGCTCGTGGTATATACAAGATTTAATTTTTCACGAAAAAAATATCTTGATTTAACGAAAAATCGATTTTAAAAAGCGGTTCATTGCTCCTAGCATTTTCTTTCCATTTTTCTTCTCATGGTAGGCATGTCATTTGTTGATATTTAACGTTTAATGAATATTGCTGTCATCATTCAATTTAGTGATTGTCTTTGCTGTTTTCTGTTTGTAGTCTTATAGAAATAATGTAAATGAAATTTTTCTAAGAATATCATAAAAAATGCAGACATGGCTTCGATTAATTCATTGTTGTTATGATTCATAATGCCCTCCATAACGACCTGGGCGATATGGGTCTGTTGATAGCAGTCGTTGCCAGGGTATAATCAAGCAGTAATGGGCAAGTGAAGAATAAAGTCGATTTTCGCCCGAAACAAGAATCCGAGTTTTTGTGAAGCAGCTTTTGCGATGCATCGGACATGATTTTCCCATGAGAGAGTATTGCTGATGGTAATACTGAACATAGATGTAGTGGTCTTGGTGGGAATGGTGATACCAGACATTGTTATATCAGGCATACTGAGTTCCACCTTTCTAGAGAAAATACAGACTTGAGTTTTGTTGGCGTTGAATTCAACTAGGTTGTTGGTTCCCCAGGCTGTAATTTCCATGGACAGAATTGGCCAGCCTTCGTCGTATGTTCTTAGTTTCCTAGAAAGAAATGGGAATTCTAGAAGAGAACGCAGTATGGAGAGTACTATAATCTGCAAAGCTGTGGATAGGGCAAGTGATTGCTCCCAATAGATCGTTGATACGAACTAGGAACACTGTTGGTGCCAAGATTGATTCTTGGGGAACGCCGGAATTGATGGCAATGGTATCAGACGCTACTCTATCCACCACCACATGGAGCGATCTGCCTGATAGAAAACTCGATAAAAGAAGGCATAGCTGAGGTGTAAGACGTATGGTAAACTAAGATTCCAAATCTTTGGTGCTGATACGCTTCATCACGAAGATTCAATCAACCTGAATTGAACAGACATACTGACCTTCATCAGAAGGTCACGGGGTTCGGAATGGAGAATTAGAAGAAGAAAGAGTAGATATGTTTGCAGCAGGGGTCAGCCGAAAAGGGCCCACAAGGGCCTACTTGCTAGGCGACCGCCTTTCCTTCTACTATTACTACTACTACTACTACTACTACTATGTTTGACATGATTTAGCAATTTTTATATGGATAATTTTGTGGTGATATTCGGGTCGATTCTGTTTGCAAATAGCAATATGGTTGTAGAGAAGATATTGCTATCATAGCAAGATTCGAAAAAGTGAAATTCTAATCATCGATTTTTCGATGATCTGTCAATTTCAATGACATCTGGCCAGCTTTCTTGCTATCTCGGCAACATCAATTTTGTGCTTGCTATCTTATAACAAGGTAGTGGATTCTTCGTTTTTGCACTACAAATTCTTCCAACTGTATGAAAATTCAGAAAATAGTGTATTAAAAACATAAGAAAGTTCAGTTGTGTCACTGACTACTCTAAAACCTTTCCTCAAAGTTTCAATTCGTAGAATTATTGAAAAACTTAGAATGGTGATTACACTATTCACTACTGTGACCAACTACTTGAAAACTTTTTCTTGAAGTTCCGATTTGTAGAGGAATTATGAGACTACAATTTCGGCATATCAGAGAAATTTCAGTTGCCTGATAGATAGTTTATCAAGCTATTTTGCTAGAATTTAAAAAAAAATCACGATTATTTTCATCCGGCTTTTAGTTGTTTTCTCATTTCGGGGACATGATTGATTACTTGCCAGTCGCACAACGACGACCAGATTCAGCAAATACAAAATCTCTCGATTTGAACAATATAATTTTGTAAAATGTCAGCGCAGGACTGACTAATTTGAGAGGTTAGATAATCATGAACTCTTCTTCTTCGTGAAATAATGGCAAAATCGATACCTAACACTTGAACAATGACTTGAAAACAGTGTTATCAGCTCAAAAATTCTCAATTTTTCAGGAATATTGCTATCACTTGAACTTATAACCAGTCTTGCAGTTACTCTGCAAACAGAATACAGAACTTCATAGCAATATTGTTATTTTATGATCATAACAATATTATTATTTTAGCAATGTCCGAACAGAATCGACCCGATTGTCTATTTTGGTGAATTCAACATCTTGTTGAGAAAAATGCCTCATCTTCGAGAACATCCTGTATTTTACTATCGATCCAGTGAGTAGATAGGAATATCAAATGAATAATAATGATAATATTGAAATGCGAATGTGACTGACCTCCCAACTCGAGCGTGGTGGGCGTCAAATGCTTGGCTGCGGCCGCGTGCACGATCTTGCCCACTTCGGTGGACCCCGTATAGAAAATGTAGTCGAAGCGCTCCTTCAACAGCTCCGTTGTCTCTGCAGCGCCTCCCTCGTACACCTGATAGTTAGAAAATTATCCGACAATATGATTATTTTATCTTCTGAAGCGCACGGAAGTCATCCCTATAACTAACACTCATAAGCCTAAATCAGGACTAAATAACTCAAATCCGCCATCTAATTGTTTGAGAATTTCGATTTTCTACAGCAAAACACCGACACAACTCGTACACCCATACACACACAAACACACCATCACCCTCACACAATTACTATGCACCTAATCACTGATTAGTGTACCAAGTGCTTCAATTTTTGACTAGTAAACAATCGAGATATTCGTTTAAACCACTTGTTTCGACCGTTCATGATGGATTCCAATACAAAACTGCCTTGATTCACCTCACCCCTAATGACTAACGAGTGCATCACACTCCCAACTGGTTGGTATCCGAAGAAATATTCGGTGATCCCCGTATAGAAAATGTAGTCCGTCGTCTCTGCAGCGCCTCCCTCGTACACCTGATGGTTAGGTGGACATATTTGTCTAAATATTCGTGTTCAAGAAGAATTTTCTGTTTTCAATTGGAGCTAAATTTTTGCACACCTACCATTTTCGACCAATTAAAAGCCGGTATTTTGTATCGTTATCATAGCAACTAAACAAATTTTCGGAAATTTTTTCCTCCTTCTTGGGGAGAAGGTGGATGGTATTACACTGGAGATTTCTCGACGTTTATAGGTGAAATTACATTTACATTCAACTTCAGATTATGTCAAAATCGTTCCATAATAAGTTGATAAGTTCCTATAGTAAGGCGATTTCTACCGACTTTATTTAAATGAATTTGTAAAAAACTGAGAGATTGAGCATCGACTCATTCTTTATTATTTAATTCAACTAAAGTCGTTTGATTAAACACTTCCCCAAAAATTAACGCACCACCAAAAATATTCCAAAAGTTTTAGATACATTTTCGTCAAAATTACTCATCCGATTTGGACGTTTTCTGTCTTGAATGATAGTTTATCTCCTTCTGAATATTGGCGTGCAAACTGTATTCGCATTAAAAACCCTTTTTATTAATGCCGGGTGTAGCAATAGGCGAGTAGACTATTTTTTTGTTATTTCTCATATAGAATCATCACTCAAATACCTGTCGATTTCATATTTTTCTAGAATTTTTCGTTCGATTTTTAGGTGCTAAAATCATCAATAATGCCATGGTAATTTTCAAACAAAACCGCGAGTAAACGGATAGAAAAGTAAAAACTGAACCATAGCACAGTTGCCATGTGTTGAAATACGATTGGGAACCTCAGAAATATTAGTTATTCAAACATTAATGAATTCTCAATTATGTATTGGTAATATTCCTATTCAGCAATACAAAATCAATTGTCTCAAAATGTTCCCTCATGATTTGTGGCTTATTGCTTATAATACATTTGTGTAAATAGTAATTATATTAATTCACACTAGGGGAAATTTAAGGCGGTGGACGTGACAACACCGTGCGCACGACTTGTGGGCGTGGTCTTGTCCCTTTCCAGCATTCAGCACAATGTTGTCAAGTATCCAACATTTACGTGAAATTTTGTCATGGACTATTAGAAATATTTGGACATCCTGGTTGCTTGAAAGAGTCAAGAATGAACTATAATATCATGGGTTCCTCCTATTATGTTTTATTCAGCGACAGGACATCTTTTTGATAACTTGATTATAATTGGTGAATTGACATCCTTGCTTCGTGAGTGGGAATGGAAGATTATCTCACCAATAACGAAACAGCATAAAAGCTGATGTCACCATTTATTCGACGTATCGCCAAATAGTGACCATGACGGTACGTTTGAAATGAGCTCCGAAATTCAACAAATCCGAACAACGCATACACCCATTATTTACATAAAAAAAGTGTGAGAAGTGTTGCAAAAATCAATTCAGGTCCATAACGACACAGTGTAGTAATTGAATAACAATAATTCATTATATGTCCATTCGCCCATTATAGTGTGTTTTGTTCATGAAATTTGTAATGCCGTGTAGAATTGGAAATAAACTTTTGTCAACATTCCTTCTTTGAATCAACTCCATTATCTTTCCGATTGCCCCAGAAACACAAGTTCATAGCATAACATGATTTTATCGAATTCAATGGCTTTATAAGTACGTAAGTAGCAGGCTATACATAGGTGTTAGGATTTTCAATGATGCCCGGCCTCACGTGGCCGTGTGAGAAATTATCTAGAGAAAGTCGGTATCGCTACCATGGCATGGCCAGCTCAGATTTCAATTCCATTTAGTATCGCTGGGACAGTCTTGGGAGAATATTACAAGAGGAACGAAAATTGAATACTTTGCAAGACGTTCGACAGACCTGGACCAAAATGACATTAGGTTTCTTATTTCGAGTATAGGCTGGTTTCACCAAGAAGTGATTTTTTACCGAGGAGGAAATACTTGCTCCTGACCCTTTCGTTCAACTTGTGACTTCGCATTCTTCGTTTCATTTTTTCGTTGTCAAATTTGAATATCAATTCTCCTCAATATCATGGTATGCTATAAAATGGTGTTTCTTGAGTAATAGGAAAGGTAATAGAGTACATCAAGAAATGGAATGTTGAAAAAAGATAAGACTAAAGTATGATTCCAATTCTAAATTGATAATATGACTATTACACTCTACAGAGGGTATTACAAATTTCATGAAAAAAACGTACAATGATTGGTGGTGCACCCGGTATCTATAAACAAGAGGTTTTCATATATGTGAATACAGATTGCACAATAATGTTCAGAAGAAGATAACCTATCATTCAAAACAAAAAACGTATAAATCGGACATGTAGTTCTGACCAAAATGTATCCCGAACTTTTGGCTACTTTTTGGTGGTGCGGTGATTTCTTAAAGAAGTGTATTTCATTTAACCTAATAATATTACGTGAGCAAATTTCATTGTACTTCGAGTTTCTTGTGAGAAAATACTTTTTATCAACTTTAGTAAAATCAATTTGTGAAAAACTGATAAATTGTCCCGACATCGACCTATTTTTCATTATTGTTACGCCTCAAATTATTATACATATATTCTAGTTGATGCTAGGATTAATTATCATCATTTCAATAATTGATATTATAATTGCCATTATTCTTGTTGATTATTATTGTTATAGGTGTAGGTAATTGTATATTACTTCTATTGAGATACCGGTAAATCGAATGAGTACATTCGGTATATTATAATACATTTTTATGGATGAATCATCAGCGGTATGCTCGAATTATGTTCGATGTTATACAGGGTGTATCTAAATAACACCGAAAAAATTCAAGGGGTGTTTCTTTGTGACATTCTGGCAAATGAAGTTCATATAAACATGTGTCCTAACTTGTTCCGTTTTTGAGATACAGGGTGTTGAAGTTGGAAGTATTAATTGTTTTTATTTATAACCCCCTGTATATGCTTTCATGATGCCAAAATTCAGTATGGATGGAGACTGAGAATGACTCGAAATTTCAAAATGATTCTAATTGGGGTTATTGAGTAATCTCAATGGAAGTCTTGAAAACACATTCATTAAAATATGGAGTCAAATCGAATTTTCATTGTTTCCTCGAAAACTAAGCTAGATACGAAAATCACACAGGGGATAAAAGAGTTGTTATTTCAATAGTTCAATCTAATAAAAATATGAAACTCAGTAAAGCCGGTGGTGTACAATGACTTTCACCATGAAAATCGATAAATTTACCCACTTTGACGCCACTGGAAATATTATTTCGAATCTAATTGCACTAGAAGAAGCTCCATTTCACTATCAACAAAACCAGAACGTTTTATTGAATTTGATGGAAAAACAATTGAGAAATGAATAGAAAAAAGATTTTTCATGGAAATATTAATACCCTGTATCTCGAAAATGGAGCAAGTTAGGACACATGTTTATATGAACTTTATTTACTAAAATATCACAAGGAATCACCCGTTGAATTTTTTTGGTGTTATTGAGATACACCCTGTATAATCATAAGAAACGGTTGATATGGCTTCAACATTGTGATTCATTAGTGGTCGTCGTGGTGTAGTGGCGTAAGCATCGTCATATAAAAGTGAATAAGTGACGCCCAATCAGATCCCGAAATAACCGGAATATTATCTTGTGTAACTAAAGAAAGATGATTTTGTGTTTTCTAACCCTCTCAAAGATAATTGTGTTTTATTCAACCTATCAATGTTATGGATGTGAATTTTATCAATACTATAAACTGCTGCGAGCTCCTTGTATCAAAATATACAGAGTGACCAATTTGAGAACAGGTTCCTTCATTATTTGAAATGTGAAGAGAAAAGGTGAATTTTGGAGCTTAGCGGCGTACTTTTTGATGATTTCTTTTTTGAATCCGCGTCAATTAAAATAGATCTGTACCAAGTTTCATGAAAAAATATTCAACATTAACGATTCTATGACTAAATTATTGACAAGTTGTTTATTATGCAAAGAAGCTATTTACGTAGTAACCCATGCGATAACAAATGAATCACGACTCTTATTCAATAACAACGTTTAATAGAGATTCTTGTAAAGACATACTTCTGAAATAATATTAAATTAACACAAGTGAATTGATTTTAAAATCGAGATTTTTCAACTAAATCCCCATTTAATAGAATGCATTTATTGCCAAGCCTGCTACTATGAACATTATCATAAAAAGCTATCATTGATGCATAATTAATAATTTGCCAGAAATTTCGTCATATAATCGTTAATGTTGTATATTTCCCCATGAAACTTCAGAGGACGCCAATTCCAGTGGATTCTGGATTTGTCAGCTTCTAGATGTGATCTAGTAGGCCTTGGTTTAGCTCCAAAAAACTTTCTCCCTCTACATTTGAAAAAATCGTGAAAATAAAAAATATGCATAAATAAAATACATATGAGGGTGGCCCGCTTTCAATGGGGTTCTACCAACTTGGGTGGAATAAACTTAGTTAAGAATAATGGTTTGAACTATCACCGACTGTCTTACTATTATTTTGCGAAACTTAAGTAGTCATTTTTGTATTTTATTTAGCGTGATCTTATCTTAGTATATTTTCAATATTAGTTCTTTGTGGAATTTCCTCACCGAATACCACTCACGCTTCAATTGAAAACAGAAATATTTTTCTAGAACACGAATATTCAGGTAATTCTCGAAATATTCGTGATCTCCAAATCATTTTTGGGTAATAATAGGCCTTCAGTGAAAAATTTTATTTCATTATTTGGTTTTGAAGTACTAACCCTAACTAGTTCACTGTCGCAAACCGTTTTTTGCCCATAGCTCTGTACATTTTTCAAATATTTATTAGAAATTCCCGTTATTTTGTAACATGAAAAACTCGAGCAAATGCGGGACGTAACTATTCTAGTGAATTTTCTGGACTGTATACTTACTGCAATCAACAGAGAACACAACACACAACCGAAGAATCAGATGAGAGAAATATTTTTGAATATTCGCATCTTGACTTGATGAAACAAGGATATGAAGATAAAGGTGACACATAACGATATTGACGTTAGGAAGTTTGGTTGACAATGTAGTTCGTCTTCTTCTTCCATTCTTATATTTCTGGGAACTCTAGGCAAAACGCTGTAGCCAGGGCCAAAAAAATAATTTGGGTTTAAATAAAATCTCGATCATTATTAGGAATACTAGAATATTTTTATCGGTACTGAAGCATCTTGCAAGTATACAAGTATTCAATAAGTGATTATGACGGACCAGGTCGAGCTATATTGGCTTCTGTGAATGTGAATACTATTGTGATTGGTCATATTGAAACTCATAAGGTAATTACTAGTTACAAATCTGGCAGCGTCGAAATATGTGGTCCTACTTTTTATGCCAGAATTCAGATAATGATGACTTTCGGTTCGGCTCATGACGTCATCGAAGCTGGCGTTCTTCGAAGGTACCGAATTTCATTATTGAAAAAATATATTTGCGATGATTTCAAATAACGAATTATTGAATCAAATATTATTTATACAAGGAATCATCAATATGAAATAGGTTTGTGGCGTAAATTCGACTAGTGTGTCCAACCCCATTGCTAGTGGTAGTATAAGTGGAAATTCGCTGACAATTCCACGAATCCCACTCAACTCACCTGGTAGGCGTCCCTGTCGAGGTACTCGGGCAAGTTTTTTGCGAGGAAGTCCGCGGTGCGCGGCGCCAGCTCAGAAGGCTTGATGACAACGCAATTGCCTGCAGAGATCGCACCTATGAGCGGCCCCAAAACCAGCTGCAACGGGTAATTCCACGCGCCGATCACCAGAGCGACGCCGAATGGCTCTTTCAGCACCTATGATAATAATATTAATAATAATATGCTTCATTGCCTGCATAAGAATCTTGTTGACAAAGCTAGGTCAAGTTAGGTTAGGTTAGGTATCGCATATTTTCTTCACGGTCACATTTTTAAATTGAACATCCTTTATATTGTGAGATTCCCTGCGACAATCGCCCCTATGACCGGCACCAAAGCCAGCTGCAACGGGTAATTCCACGCGCCGATCACTTGAGCTACGTCGAACCGCACTTTCAGCACCTATAATAATGAAAAAAACATTTTTCATGTTCTGGTTCCCACGAAAAGGGATATCCTGTAATGTTCAGAGAACATCGTGAGAACCAAGGGAAATAAGGTAGGAATTGGTTTCTTCTTACATTTCTGGAGGTTATATGCCTCGGGGAACACCTCCCTGGGCAATGTGTTCCAGACCCTCGCTGTTCATTGGATGAACGAGTCTTTGGAAAGAGATGTTCGTTGGATGAACGAGTCTTTGGAAAGAGATGTTCTACAGGTCTCCAAAGTGGCCACGAAGGGGTGCGAAGCCTCAACTCGACGGGTTAATCTCGCGGGGACTGCCAAGGGAGGAACAATTGTTGATATCTCAGAAGAGCATCGTCCATAAAATAGAGCCAGATCGCCAACTTTTCTATGGTGTTCCAGAGAAGTGAGTGATTTTGTGAGCGAGGCATCACCCACGAGACGAAATGCCTTTTTTGGACAGAATCCAACAATTTCAGGGTATGTTTGGGTGCTGCACTCCAAATATGGGAACAGTATTCCAGGACAGGTCGGATCTGTGCCTTATAGTAGAAATAACTCCTGGCCCGAAACAGAAAACCAAGTTTTTGGGATGCACTTATAGCAATTGATCTCACGTGATTTTCCAAAGAAAGGTTATTGCTGATAATAATACCAAGCATCGAAATGGATGTCTTCAAAGGTATGGTTACTCCTGACAAACTTTATGTTGGGCACAGTGAGATCGGCTTTTCTAGAGAAAAGGCATGTTTGTGTTTTGTTTGCATTGAAATCTACCAAGTTATTGGATCACAATCCGAGAATTGTTGTCAAGTCCATATTCATGTTGTCAACATTTCTCCCTCGTTCGTTTCTGATTTGCCCGGCTGGTATTGGAGCCCTGGAAGAGAAGGCGGTAAGGAGGGTACTATCATCCGCGAAGCTCTGTACTGGACATGAAGTTGCTTCCAGCAAATCGTTGATATGGAGTAGAAATAGTGTTGGTGCTAGAATTGATCCTTCGGGAACACCAGCATTTAGGTTATGTTAGGTTAGTTGTTCTCTGATGACGGAAGCCATATTCCCTATCGTTGATAATACCTGAATGTTCCAGGTAGGTATTTCATGAGCTTGATGTTGATAGCTTTCTCCATGATCTTTGAAATAATAGATAGCAGTGCGATCGGTCTGTAGTTGCTAGGTAGGTTATTTTTGCCTTTTTTAGGAACTGGTTGTACTCTTGAAATTTTCCAGTTGGACGGGAATATCCTCAATTTGTAAGAGTAGTTATGCCTTATTGTCTGAAGAAGAATCTTGTTGTAAAAGTTGAGTCAGGTTAGGTTATGTATCGCAGATTTTCTTCATGGCCACTTCCGGTTTCACCGAAAATGGCTTCAGTTTTGAATTTTCAAATTGAAATGTATATTGTGAAATTCCCTGCGGCGATCGCCCCTATGACCGGCCCCAAGGCCAGCTGCAACGGGTAATTCCACGCGCCGATCACCAGAGCGACGCCAAACGGCTCTTTCAGCACCTTTGATAATAACGATATGCTTTGCCTCAAGCAGTTTTGTTGGCAGTTCGCCTAGTAACCGGAGTTCCGGGGTTCGAATCCCATGGCGGTCGTCTTTTTTATTATTTGAATGTATCGGCAGACATGTAGGTACTGGCCCTGATGACGGCCAGAGTCTTCAATTGGTACTGGCCCATCAATGTTTACAGGAATTTTGATGTTCTGGCCAATTCTGGCCTGGTCCGGCATAAGGCCGACCAAAATTGTTTGCTGGGTTATTCTGGAAAATTCAAAGATGAAAGATTTGGAAAAAAAATCTCTATACATTTTGTGATCGTGATGAACGTCATATTATTTTTTATCAGGAATTATTCTTGTCTATTGGTTGAAATGTGAAACATAAAAATTTCAATATCTTGGTCATTTTTTGAAAGATTTTGACGACTGGGGTGTCATTCAGTAGGAAAAACTGATTCCTCTATCGATTTGTGCAGAAGTATGTAAAATACAAAGCTGCCAGCAAAAAAAGCGAAATTGATCGCCCTGTAACTTTTTTATTTCTTGTCCGATTTTGGTGAAATTTCGACCAAATCGTAGATTCATGTTTCAAAATGTTAACCTGAATTTATCTTTAGAAAAAGATGATGGCTTGTTCATAATAGAGGGGGAAACAAAAGTTACTATATCACGCTCAACTTCTTCAAGCCCTGTGACAAAGGTGAGTGATTGAACTCAGCTTCATCATGTTATGGACACAATGGTTCATGATTCACGTTAAATGTTTTAAGAAATTATGGATTTTCTAAATTTGCAGAACCTACATGAACTTATCGATTAACTTCTCAGAAAAACATCTATGAGATGATATGAATTATTTCCATTTAGTTTTATCTCTCCGGTAAACAAAACCTTGATTACTGAATGGAAATGGGAAGCAGAGCTCATAGATGTAGTCAATAACGAGTATGCCCTCCTGGAGCATTCAACTGCCGTGGCATCGATTCGATCAATTCTCTCAAACAGTCTTGAGGAATTACCTCAAATTCTCTTTAAAGGGCAAAGAAATATTTTACAGATATAAGTTTCATGATATTGTTGAAATAACATTGCGATAATGTCGTTCTGAAATATCCAACATAATATTATGAAGTAGAACGTTTATGAGACGTTGCCTCAATATTGAAATCAATTTTATTAGATAATATTGTAATATGTTGATTTTAGGTTGTTCAGAAATATCTCAGAAAGTTTCACCACCTTATAACGTAGCTTACATGTATACAGGATACAAGAAGATACTTTTTTTACGGCAAAGTAACCTTCTCAACTGTCAAAAGTCAATTAAATACCATTTCATCCATTTTGTTTGTTTTCCATTATGGTGAACAGGTCAATCAGTGTGATCCGTGAAAATATTTTTGATTTTGAGCAATTACTCATAGTATGTTAAGAACTAAACAAGTCTTGGACTGAAACAAATTCGAATGAAAATTTGAATTGCTCATGATACCCATACTTAGATTCCAGGTTTACCATGCTGGAATGTATAAATGCAATCAATCTGTATCTGTATTCCATATGTGAAAAAGTAGGAGGCATTCGTAAATACGGTTGTTTTTTTTATATATTTCACGAATTACAGTAAACTTTCGAAAACTAAATATACCTTATGAAGTAACATTGATTTTTTAATTCCTGATATATTTATATAATATTTCCCATTAACATTGCATTGTAATATTTAAATGCAGCACAAATGCCATTACCACAACGTATCTGTGACATTTAGCATCTCTCTGAATAACATCACAAAGTAACAATGTGATACAACATTTATGTTTGCGTTATCTTTTTATGTTTAGTGGGATGGGCCTCTAGAGTTCATCGTAAAGATGCTCAATAGGTTCTGAATTATTGTTGATGGAAATTTAAAAAGTCCATACTTTCTTGAAACTCTTGTATCTTCTTTTGAAAAGAGGATGTTGACGTGAATCAAGAACCATTGTGTTATGAAGGGACGAGAAGAGATCATACTCTCAATTATGGTTAATATAAATTGAAAAATGTAATACTTTCTTAAAATACCTGTATCTTAAAAAGAAGATAAATACGACAATCAAAAACCATTGTCCTAAGAAGGGATCACACTTCAATCCGAAACATCATGAAGCTAAGTTAACCACACACCTTTGCCATAAAGCGTAAAGAAGTTGGGAGTGAAAGAGTAACTTTTGTTTTTCCCTATACAATATTCAAGCCATTAGCTTTTTTTGAAAATTAAAATTTAGGCTGACACTTCGAAATATTAGTTTACGATTTGTTCGGAATTTTCCCAGAATCGGACAAGAATTAAAGAAGTTTTTATTTGCCGGTGAGTGTATATCGATTCTGAAGAAGCCATATCGACGACAAGCACAAGGACGCTGCTGTTCGAAGTGGAAAACATTGCAGATTCTGAATTAAAAAATTCAAACAAAACACTTGCAATTTACATACTTGTACGGTGTCCAGCATGTTGGCAACACTGGTGGCGGGATAGTCCGGTTTCACCCACTCTCGTATGTGGCTCAGCGTGTAGCGAATATCGTTGATGCAGAAGTCGATCTCCATCAAGATCGAGTCGTGTTTGCTCTTGTGCAAATCGTCGTAAAGGCACTGCAACACACGAATATGCATGGTGTTCATAAGTATACGACCAGAACTCAGAACGGAGAAGCCACCTTGTTGTATATTTGAATTCTATTCCATTAGGGTCCCTTGATGCAAACGGACGTATTTTTCATCTAACAGGGTACGGACAGATCATAGCTCCATTCTCTTTAAATCATCTAGTGACTTTGATTTCGTGTGTTGGCGTCCCTGACATGACATTGCTGTCACGTCACATTCATAGGGATCTTACAAAATTTTAATTTCATACTCAATCTTAATACGACATTATTCAATTCTGTTTTGGAAGGATGGTGAAATGTGCTGCGTTAGGCTGTATCAATCAGTTGGATGGCAAATTTGAATTTGTCAGCTTTCATTCAAATACAAATGAACTTAGAACATGGAAAGTGAAGTGACCGAATGGAGAGAATTGGTAAATACATCAGCAAAAAATTCGAAGGAAACCTAATACGAATTCAGATATACAGGGTGAGTCATTAGTGTGGCAAAGTGAGATAGCGGCTTTACTGTTTGAGATAGATGAACAAAAATTTCAGAGATGATCTAGGATTACTAACAGCACATTTCCAAATTATTTCGATTTATACAAGGTGACTGAGAAATGCGTGACGTATCAGAGTTATACTTTTTCTTATGGGACACCCTGTATTTCATTGCATTTTCGCATTCTCCTTTGTGAGCTGATTTCATCAATGCATCAAACTTGGGGTCTAGCGAGAATGATTACAAGAGATATAGGGTGTTCAAAATCGAGTCGAATGATTCTAAAGAGAACATGAAAATCATTACCATGAATTATCACGATGAACCTATAGAGAGTTTTTGAGATGTGAGTTGAGAAATATTTTTTTCAAAAATTTCAACACATGACCTTTTCGGACACCCCGTATTTCTTTTTGAAAATAATGGAGTAATATCTAATGCTGGTACAAAAAAAGTATTATTGGTATCAATTTCCTCGTAAATTACCTATTTATTTGAATTCACAAACGATAAGATTATTCTTGTGCTATATTAGTAGATTGTTTTATTAGGATAAAAAGTGACACTTTGTTTGACAAGCGAATTCACTTTTGATCCGAATGAAACATGCTATTTTTTCTGCAACCGAGACAATTAAATCAAATAAATATGTGAAGTAACCACCAATGCCGAGTCATATGTATGCAATACAACAAATAATCCGTGTGGTATTCTACTGCATTAACAGCAGGTTTATTCAATATTCAAGGAGTTTCAATATGAAATACAATCACAGAGTGACATATTTGTGTATGGACCTGGTGCTCTAATGGCAAATACCGCGCCAGTGCCAGGTATAGAAACAAGACGTGGAAAATGTTATGTTAGTGAGCATATATCAACAATAATAATAGCGATTATTAATTTCTCTCCATACTCCACTATGTTTGCCATGGTAATCAAATAGAGGTAAAAATATCGTAGTTTGAGACAAAAACTTATTGCTGGCCGTGATTATTCGAAGTTATCCATCCCGAGAATAACGAATGAAATACAGATCAAGCAAGCATGTGAATCTTGAAGGCTTCCATGATCAAAACAAAAATACTTTACTATAATAAGGTGTATTTAAATCTCCAGCAAGGGTATGATATGCCAAATCTGCCGAAATCGGAAACACATCAGGTATGCGTCCCAACCCGAATAACCAACCGTAACAATAGTGTTTATTTTTGATGACCTCTAGTACATCCTTTTTAGTTCCTAGGAGCTTAAGTTCAACTTTAGGTCTAAGGAACTAAATGTGTTGCCTAGCAACATACCTATTTTTGTGTCAGTAATAGAAACGTCTATTCAAGAGCTAATTCTGGTATTAAAATGGAGACTTTTGTGTCGGTTGCAGAAATTAAGTTATTGATTACAAAGAATTACAAGTCGAAAATTGAGATGAATTTTACTACAAACATAAAATATTGAAACAGTTAGTCAATGTTCAAAATGTCCTCCGTTTTCACGAATAAGCTTTTATCTTTTTTCCTATAAAGAATGCATTATTGAGTTGGGGATCTGATGTTAGGTCATTCAAGTGATGTTCGATTTTGTCTTACAACTTTTGACGTGAATTTACCTTTGAAGCATAGACTTTTTTCTCAAGATACAACCAACTATATTCAAATCAAAATATTCCGGAAATGGTACATAGTATCGACTTTTACCAAGGGTACCTTTTTGGTGTGAAATTGAATGATGTTCAAGTTTACATTAAATTTGGTTTGGAAGATCTAACCTCGAGAAAAGTATGTTTAAAACTACTCGGTACGAACTGTTTAACTAACGCTCTCTATGAGAGTAGGATATAAAACAAATGCATGCGATGTGTCGGCTTTCAGAACACATCTATTCGCGATAGAAAATAACACGTCGCTCCACCTCAGGGCAACAGCTTGAACAGTTCTAAGCGGTTTGTTTTGATGATGTGACCAATAAGCACAAACGAAAACAAATGTGAACCAATGAAAACGATATAAACAGGCCGCTTTGACAGCTTTCTAGAACTCCGATAAGTGGCGTACGCTTATTTTCTATCGCGAAAACAAAATTTCAACACAATGTTGCCAGTAGTTTCGACATGATCGTAAAAAATGTGTAAAAAAATCTTGATGCCATTAAGACATTTTTTTACTGAGCAAACCCAACTTATTCGTTACATTACATGTTTAGCGGGATATACCTGCGAGATGGTCTCCGACTTCTCTTGGAGCATCTTCTTCAAGCTTTTCAGCTGCTCGATTCTGTACTCGATGGGCTTGGTCTTGCCGCTTTCGAACGTGGTTCGAAGATGCATGACCAACTTGTGGGGGCCCATTTCAGAAAAACTGAAAAAAAAACAAATGTGAAAATTTTCGACCCCAAAACCCCACATACCGATTGTGAATCGAAATGTTCCCTAATCACAAATCTCCATTTTTAATTTATGAATTTTGGTGACAAACACAGAATCCTCGACTCCTAAAACTTCCACAAACCAATTTTGAATCAGCGGACTATAATCTCAAATCTCGTACGCCATCTTGTATCTGGTAGACGCCATTTTCAATTTATAAATCTCAACAACATATTGAAATTAAATATTCTCATAAATATCACGATGAAAAAAAAAGAAATGAAGACACTAGGAAGTGAATAGTGGACATAGCCCTCACAAAGAGATAACCGTATACACGTATTTCGGGCTTTCGACCCTCATCAGCACGGTGAAAGAAAGTGCAAAGGATAGGCAGCACTTGGTGGAAAGACGAAACAACAAACAAACGGAGTTATCAAACTGCCCATACCAAATACCTTGGTATTTGGATTGATGAGAAATTAACATGGGGAAAGCATATTGACATCCTCATAGGAAAAGTATCTCCCATTATTGGTGCTTTGAGAAGATGTCCTAAACTTAGTACATATACATCAAATATCATTCTCTATTCACATATACTCAGTCGAATTAACTATCTCATAAATATTTGGGGATCTTGTTCCAAAAATAGTTTCAACAAAATTTCTGTTCTATATAAAAAGGCATTGAAAGTATTGTATCGTCTTCCATATGACACTCCAACGAATCAACTGTATAAGGAAACAAACACATTTTCTTTGGAAGAGCACTTTTTAATCAATACTCTCAAAATTTCCTATTATATCATCAACAAAAAGCTTAAATCAAATTTTATATTAATCAGGAATTCTGAAATTCATGATCATCACACTAGACAATATAACTTGTTTCATCTTGAAGCTGCAAATTCTAAACTTGGGCAAAAAAAGTTTACACATGAGGCGATTTCGAAATTCAATAAATTACCAGATGATATCAAAAACAGCCCAAATATTTTGCAATTCAAAAATAAAGTTAAGAAATATATTTATATGCAAAGGAATGATCAAAGCTGAAAGACCATGAATTTCCTTTTTTCTTTCTTTTTTTTTTTTTTTCTTCACTGTTTTTATTTTTCCCCTTATCGTTCACTATAATATGACTGTATCTTAATGATATGTAAGTTTTGTTCACTATTTGTAATTTCAATTATACAACAGTCGATAATACTTCATGAATGATCTTATACCAGGAATTACTGTCTGATCATTCATGTCATTCCTACTAGAAAATTAATTATACTTTATATATTATTTGTATGAAATGTATCAATGAAGAAAAGAATGTAATGCAATAACTGAAATAAATAAATAAAATAAAAAAAAAAAAAAAAAAAAAAAAAGCCAGCCGCACATTTCTGGTTGCGGTCAGCAGACCCTGAGGAGGAAACAGCTAACGTCACCACGGAGGCAGCTATAGCTACCTGCGTGACATCCGAGTCAAGGAGTCAAATGGAACACCCTGATGCTTCAAATTACTTAAATCATTTTGTCAAAACCATGAGAGTTATCCAAAGAGTTATCGAATTTTATCAAGAGTACCTTTCTTGTAGTAAAAATGTTAGGCAATCCAAATTTCATACTCGAAGTTTTGGTATTAATTGCGTAAATATGAGTGTTGATTACAAGAAATCGACTTTTTCGATTGATTTTCGATTACGCGATAAAAAACCTTGTGATAAATAGGTTTCTTGACTTCATGTCAGCTCAGGAATATCTGAAAACCATTGTAGCATCGTTATTGTATGAATTGGTCAGAAAAATCCAGAAGAACCTCCTTGCGCCCCCTTGGATTGCCTTATCTGAAAAATCACGAAATCAATTCGAGATATTGAGCTGAGCAATCGATCCAAATGAAGAATTTGTGTTTAGCATAGCATATGGTAATGGCAGCACCAAACTGAACAGACGATTTCACGAAATTCGGAACATTTTTTCCAAAAAAAATATTTTTTCTTCTGTTGAAGTTGTCGATGATTTCAACGCAATAAGAATCAATTTTCCAGGATGTGTTCCGTAGTATAGAGTGGCAAAATACGTTGAATGTAGCTTGCATAATTTTAAAATCGGAAATGATGCGATAAAAACCTGAAAATGAAAAATTATCGATTTTGAACATCCTGTATGAAGAATATGGGAAATTACAAAACCGTTTCGAGATATTGGCTTGAACGTTCGAAAAAAAAAATGATTAATAGAAAAATACAAAAAATTCCCTGGAATACGGAAGCGTTTGAATTCTCTCATTTTTGTAATACTTGGTGTACAATGACAGAAAAACTCCCGACGAGTTTTGAACGGGTAATCTTGAACAGAAAGATCGCATCTTCCAAGCAGTGCATTCCGATTGAAAATTCATTCATTTTCTAAAAAGATGTGGCATTTTAAAAATTGACAAATATTTCAGTGGTCCACTTGTTTTTTTGAGCACTTTATAATCTTCGTCTGTTGAGATTGTATCACTATTATGTTAAATAGCATATTATTATTCAAACTGTGCGTTTTGCTTGCCGTGCATAATGAGCTACTTACTGAGGCTGTGTATCGTGTGTTCTTGCCTATTTTCTACAGTGGTCATATGTAATAGTATATTACATAACTAGTGTGGAAAGTGACATATTTCGCATGAGTGATATTTAGTACGACGACAAAAGAATGCGACATACATACATACATATATTGATTGAATTGGTACGACATGTTTTCCATGCACATTCACTACAGTGAATTGTCCTACGAATTTCAGAGCAGTACCTTTCAAGAATTTCGAAATATTAAAAGAAAATCTGGAAATAAAGTTGTTCTTCATCGCCCTCTCACGGCTCAACGGTGCACTTTCGTATGAAGGTTAGTTTATTTCAATACCCTTTTTTTGTCGCTAGTTCACCCTGTAGAATTTATGGTACGTTGTTCTGGGACACCTTGTATACAGGGTGTCCCAAAATTCAACGTCATCCTTTGGAGGGCTAATTGTCCAGTTTATGGCTGATCAGAATTTCACGATGACTTGAGAAAAATATTGATAGTTTTGGAGATATTGTCACTTTTATGAGTTTCGTGAAAATCGGAACTTTTTGGTATTTCGGATATTAGGGAGGATAGGAAGAGGAGGTAGGTGTTGGAATTTTTTGAACTTTTGGAGGTTATAAGTTCTTGGGAACACTTCCATTGGCCGAGAATTCCAAAACTTTGCCGAGTCATAGACGAACGAGTTTTGGTAGAGTGTTGTTCGACATATTTCAAGGTAGACAATGAAAGGATGTGCTGACTGGGCCTGTCGAGTTCGTCCGACAGGTACGCCAACACAGGTTTAAATAAACTATCTTTCATTTTTTGAATTTCCTGATAAGTTACCTGCTTCGGCTACTTATTTTTACAGGAACTTGTAACTCAATCTAGATCACGATTGTAATTGAAAAAAATCAAGATTTAAATCATGGCAACCCTGTATTTCACTATATGGAAATATATACAGGGAGCAGCAAAAAGTGTATAAATTTTGAATTGAACACCGTATATATTTCCTCGCCATAGGAAAAACCGTTCGCTTTCCAAAACGAGAGAAGGTCATGACAATGATAGCAAATCCAGGTATTTCCGCTATATCCCTACTTATATGACATTTGATTCTCATTGGCGGTGACCACTAAAAATCAATATTGTAATTATCGTCAAGGCTTACTTTCGAAAATCATTCAAAATCAATCATACTTTGTTTTGAATTCAACAGAGTGTCAAATTAACGATATAAACAAAATTAGTCAAAATAATCATGGTATAATTTGTAATTTCATTTAAAAAATTTGGAAGGTCATCAGTCAATGACATTTATGACATAGACATATCACATCATTCTAATTTGAACTAACTGAAATTTCTCAATAGAACTGAACCTGAATCAGTTATTATGTGTTCTTTCCAAAGAATTTGATTATTAAGAACGCATGTTAACTGATTCAGTTCAGTCCAAGGGAAATATGTCAGTCATTATAACATTGAAAATAGTTCAATGGCGCAGACTAGATGTTAGACAAGGAAAGATTTATCGGACCTCTCTATATTTCAATGCGGCCAAGTTGGTAGCATTGAAGAGAAAGATGGAAAACGAGAGAAGTTTCCTGTCTCTCGTTCAAGGTAGAAAAGAGCTCAATTGGTGCCTGGGGGTTTTCGAGGTCGGAGATTGTGATTATTTCGTCAAAATTGGTAAATTCAAGATGGCGGATCAAATATGGAGGACAAGTTTTGTAATCTAAAACCGATTCTATTCAAAATTGGTATCTGGGGGTTTTCGGGGGCGGAAGTTATGATTCTTTCGTCAAAATTGGTAAATTCAAGATGGCGGATCCAATATGGCGGACGATTTTTGTAATTATGATCAAACTCTATTCAAAATTTGTATCTGGGGGTTTTCGAGTCGGATATTATGATGCTTTTGTCAAAATTTGAGAATTCAATATGGCTGTATCTGCCACGGGTTTCGTAATCCTGATCCGGTTCTATTAAAAATCTGAGGGTTTTTGGGGTAGGAGATTATGATTCTTTCGTCAAAATTGGGTTCTCACAAAAAATATAAGAACACTAAAAAACACGCTCTTGTAGTTAGCTGAACTAAAGAATTCTTGCATTTTGGTCGCTAAATGAATCAAACAACAGTAGTAAACGGTTGTAATGAGTACAACTGTAGTTGGATGAAAGATGAAATGTTCTGACAAGACTAAACTTATTTACTTCAACTACTGCATTGAACAATTCCAAAACATCCATTATTCGATCCTTCCAGAATGGCCAATCTTCTGCTCCCCTTAACGGTTTAATTCCTTTCGCATATTCCATTTCGAGATAGCGAACTCGAACACGACGATGACGGGAATAATGAAGAACAGAATCGAAAATTGGTCACCAAGATTTCAAAAAACGACCGCACGCAGTTTATCGAACTGGGCACATAACCTCTTGCATTTTGGTCGCTAAATGAATCAAACAACAGTAGTAAACGGTTTTAATGAGTACAACTGTAGTTGGATGAAAGATGAAATGTTCTGACAAGAATAAACTTATTTACTTCAACTAACGTCTCATCTTGACAACTCCAGCTATGGTACCGAGGGTACAAATAAATACAGACCCGACACTGAAAAATAACTGAACTTCAACAAGAATGAATATAAAATGAACAGTAGTTCAAAAAACTAAAGAAACGCCCTCTTATAGAAAGACAAACTAAAGAGCTAGAATATAAAATGATAAGTGTGTTGATATATAGAATATATTGATTACGGAGGTGCTAATATTTTCTATGTTGTGTATTTATCAACATACTTTTATCATTTTCTTTTCTACCTCTTTTTATTTTGGCTTTTTATAAAAGGGTGTTTCTGTAATTTTCCAAACAACTATTTATTTATTTTTATTCTACTGTCAAAAATAAAGAGTTATAGGGTAATTTAAAACATGTCACCTGGTACATGATAGGATCATGATACATTTATAGAGCAGCAGTGAAATAAAACTCCCGAAAACTCCTAAGTCTAAATATGCCCAGACTCTATCTGCAAGATATTATCGGAAGTAGTACCTATAATAAGAAGTGTACCTGATGAGGCATATCCCAATCAAATCTACCAATATGTAGGTACATCAAAATGCAAATGAAATGACGCATCGATTGAGTTCGATCGGTCGCCGTTTCAGTAAATTCATCTTCAGGCGTCACGAATTGGCAACATCGAACAGAGACTACTTCAACTCATCGAGCCTCGATGAGTAGATTTTTTTTATCGCAATCATTGTACTGTTGATTTTGTGTTGTCGTTTGCTTGAAGTTTTGATGGCGAAAATATCATGTGATTTGGATATGTGAATTCACATAGAGTATTAAAAGATTTCGTTTTTATCTCACAATATTCGATGGATTTGAATTATTATCGGGAGAGATGCATGAACTGGAAACTAGAATTTGAAATATCTTTGTGAAATTGCTCCTATTATATTCATGCATGATAAGAGATATCATTGGGTATGGATATTTTTAGGAAAAATACATAGTAATATACTGGGTTTCTCAATAAACGGTTCCACATAAAAGAATTTGAAAAACTCAAACATTATTTTATCAGTGAGATGCAACAAAATGGTGGTTTGAGAGACTGGTGATTCTTGGTTTATGATCGATTTTGTATTCATTAGAAGACAATATAGAACATTATTAGCAATATTATGAATTTGAATTCAAAATTTATTCATCTCATTATTCAAAATCTGTTACTTTTCAGGACATGAAAAACCTCGTGAAAAAGTTATACTTCATTTACTCAGGTAGAATAAGCATTTTTTTAATAAACTTTTTCTTGATATCATCCTTCCTAGTAACCACACTTTCTACTTTTTTTATTGCAATTTTCCCCATGGCGGTAAATATGTGAGAACTGAGAACTACCAAAATGGATCTTGTTATTGGACATGCATAATAATTATTGATGGCTCAGAAAAAATCGATATATCAATAAGTAATTGATTGTGCCCTATTATTAACTGTATAAAATTTCAGGAAATTTTATAGACTGATTTTCAAAATTCTATATTCTGCATGATATAATAATTTTTCATACCAGGAGCTTTTTAAGGTGTTTTTTCTTCTCATGTTTGAAAATAAATAGGAAGGTTGAAAAGGACTCTATAAAAGTTAGAAGATTAGAATAATAATAATACCTTCTGATATTACATCCTTCAATATTTCAAGCAATGATGTCATTAATAATGCAGAACTGGAAAACCGTCTTGAATAGGGTGGTTCAAATTTTCGTATACCTTTATTCAGAGAAGATAGAAATTTACAAAATATGGTGACTTCTCTCAGTGGCCCTATAGGTTTCCAAAAATCGAGAAAAATGCACTATAAATTGAATCCAGGACAATGAAGTTCAATTAAAAAATCTTCATCATTCCATATATCTAGACACAATCAATTTGAATCAGCAAAAATGAGAAACTTGGTGAAACCACATTGATAAAACATTTTTTCAAATCTATTTCCTGATATAGAAATGCATCAAAACCGAGACTGCCCAAATAACCCACTTGAAAACAGAGAAGAATTTACTTACCCTTCTTTCACATTGTATCATTCTCGGAATCATTACTAAATGTAGTCAATTGGAATCATTGCTAAATGTATTCAATTGGAACATTTATTATAATTTTATTGTATTTTGAATAGTTTACCATTTATGAATGAATATTCCAATAATCATAATGAATATCATGAGCTGAATTGAGATAGGGCTTCAAAGATTAAAATTTATAGGTTTCTTGATTTATTTCAGAAGTCACCTATTTTTTAAATGATGAATTCATTCCATTTGCATTGTCTGAATAAACACCTATAAATCTCATGCTTTTACATTATTTTTCATTCACAAAACGTCAATACCTTTGAAGAGAGGAAACCTATTATTTATGTGGAGATTCATGAACTTCAGAACCCAATCTGAAAGATATCCAATAATATTATTGATATATCATGAGTTGTGTTGCAGATGAGAAATGCACATAAAAAAAGTTGTATTATAACATTCAGTTCCCTAGGAGCAGTGATGCCAAATAATATTGAGTTGATAGAGGTTGTGAAATTGGTGCATCATCTTTATTGAATCCAACAGAGCATTCAACTGTACATATTTTTTGTTTTCCTATATAGAGTGGTTGAGTACTGGAATACTCAATGGATTTTAGGTTTCCCTACTATACAAATCACCCTACAAGTTGAGAGTTGAGAATTCTCTATAGGTTTTGATCACATACATAATGAAAATATAGATTTCTGATGGCTTTTGAGCTTTTACTGATATGGGCATTTGGAAAATAGGATATAGAAATAAATGAGGAATAATAGCATTACAACATAGTTAATCAACATTATCACTCACTTTTGTTCCTGGCGGATTGAAGAATCCAGTAAAGATGCAATACTTATCTGCTCAGCTACCTGATATCTACCTTCAGAACATTAATACATAGGTTGTATCATGGACTCAAGAATTTGTATTATTATAGACGAATATAGTAATGATCTATGTAATAATTATGCAATAATTTATAAAAACAGGTTATCGTCTCCCTACCCGAACACTGAAACAATTAAAAGCATTAACAACAAATTATTCACAAAACTGGCTCACTCTCTTGTTCTGTTTGTTTTGAAAGATTTTTTTTAATTTGGGGATCCAGACGATTTCATTCAGATGTCACGAATGTCACGAAGTCACATTGACATTTGTCTACACAGATAAAAAAGTGGATCGCGACAGGAGCGATGAATTGGCATCCGCTGGTTGCTGCGTCCGGTCTTGCATGTCTGCTCTGAGCGGGAAAATGGCAAATATAATAAAGCACAGAAGATTCATGTAGCCAGAATGGCTAAAGTGAAAGTGTGATGCGATGATTGTTCTTAGAAATTCAGCCAGGGCCGGACTGAAGGTACAAAACGGGCCGGGCGTATTTCCCAAAGCAGGCCAATTTACCTGTCGAAAAGTATGTGTTGCAGGCGTTTTTTTTCCCCAAATTTCAAGGTCTTCAGCTTAATATATGCAATGTTAGAAAATTCACCACCAAAAATATCGAGACTTCGTCGAGTAGTTGTTTTGTTGGAGGATTCACATTTTCAAAACTAAAACGGACTTTTATAAAAGATAGATGAAACAGAATAAATACACTTCTTTGATACCAAGAACAATGAATAAAATATAATGAAACTAATGAACATAAAACAGGCGCGTATAAATCAACTTTGTTTCATGAGGGGGTGAGGGGGTGATTCGTGCCAAGGGAGTGACAGAAAGCAAAGTAGCGCCGCAGGCGAAACATTTTATTTTTCAAGGTCAAATGCCTTCGAATTGATAGTTAGGTTCGTCAGAGGCGTACCATGAAGATAGGAAAAATAATTTCAAAATCAAAACGCTTGAGTGTTATTCGGTAAGACAATTTATGAATACGTAAATCACATTATTGTTGATGGTTTATTTCAATTTCTCCACTCAAAGACTCTCCAAATCGCGACAGTTCCACAGATTAGATACTTTTGTGAAAAAGCGAGATTTGTTTACAATTTCGGATGTCATGCATTCGAATTTTAAATTTCCGTTCTGTTGCTGGAAAAGTTGGGGTACATTTTTTTCGCTGTCATAATGACAAAATCACAGCGGCTTACGTTATGTTATGTACATAAATTGAATTGTCACAATGAAGAAAGACATTTCACGCTGCAGTTTTGCTATTTTTTTGGGAGTAATGGCCTCTGCTGATGCCTATACATTACGCCCTTGATACATAAACAATTATTCCAGAAGATATTTATATGAAAGCCTCCACGTGATTCTGGGACAGACAGTTACATACTCCATTCAAAATTAATTTTGTTATAGAATATAGTACCTCACCTAGTTACATGCATAACTTGTGAAATAGACACGTCAATCAATATCTTTATACCTTTTCTAGAATTCTAGATCAGGGTAGAATAATATAAAATAAAGCTCCCACAGGCTGGCCCAGGCCAGCGGGTCAAAAATGAGCCAGGCCCTCGGGCGATCGCCCGATCGCCCTACGGGCCAGTCCGGCCCTACAGTACAAGTAGGTTGAGGTTGTGGTTGTCGCAAATTATACATTCATGACGCAATTTACGACTGTGGTAAATGTAATTTCTACGGCATACCAACCTTCGCCACATTTACGACATCACCTAAAATTTTGTTGAAATGGTACAAAATCAATAGGTACTTCATTCTTCCGAATGAGTACTAGGATAAAAATATAAATGAAACCTCATATTTTTTATTATAATTTTCAACCTCAAAATACCAGATGTCATCGACAGAACTCATAAAACCATTCACTTCGTTCACGACATACAATTTGCTACATTTCCTATTTCATGACGACGTAATAAATGTCGCAAGTTTAGTAAATGTCGTTGAACCAATTTTGGAGACATTTACCTAACCCTGCTCTGAAGTGCCAATACATAAAAATAAAGAGTCGAAATTTCTACTGAGTCGAAAAACAATTGCAGGCAAGAAGAATTCGTTTTGCAGAAATGCAGGCCACGCGTGATTTCAGTTTTTGAAACTTCAATCTACATTTTATGAAGTGATTTTCAATCTATATCACAAGAACGAACTGGACCATCGAATCGGTCTGGGCGAATCGAACCCTACCGTACCCTTCGAGAAATTCCAAAGCTATTATGGCTATTCATATAATTCCATTACATATATATTTCAGTAACATATAGACCAAAACGCGAAAAAATATTACAGATTGTTTTTATTATAAATAAAACTCGTGCAAACAAAAAACCTGTCGATGGCACATCAAATAATATATACTCAAGAAAAATGAAAATGAAATGTATTTTTTGCATTCCAGGGATATGAAGGGTACCTTTATTCCCTATTCTACTCATTATTGTTCGCTGTAACTAACAGGTGAAGTATCTGCTGATTAAGCTGTGATGAAACTGATAAAAGTATAGCGACTTTTCACTTTTCACTTCCACTTCCACGTCGGTAACTTCCATTCAGTAATCTCTGCTATCATTCCATCATTATCAATACCAGTCGGTTGTACTCGAGATGCCCAGTCATCACATCCTTTTGTCGTCAACCTCGAAATATGTCGAACAACTCTTCATCTGAACTCGTTTGCCTATAGAACAGGAACATCAAAGCTTTTTCGAATTCTTTGCCCAAGAAAGTATTATACTAAGAATTTTATAATCACCGAAAGCTCGAAAAAATAGTGCAATACCTACTTACCCTTTCTATCCTGCTTATAATGTTCCTCGAATATTATAGGAATCTCCTTTCTTGCGCTCCAAGAGATGAACAAATTTACGATCTGAACCATTTGAACATCTTTCGGAACCTTGCTAACTGACTGAAATGAAACAAAGCAGCTGGCAGCCTTAATACTTTAGCAGAACTTTAGTGAGCAACTCGTCTTGTTCATATGACTTGCTCTTGACATTGACATCATTTGACATAAATCATCTGTATTTTATTTTAGACATTTTGACTACTTCAGAGAAATTTATCTGAGGTTATCTTCATCTAGGAAACTAAAATAAAATTTTCACTATTTTCAGATCGTTTGATAAATTTGAATTGACAACGAAGTTATTAAAATGAAAGTGTCAATAAAGTGCTTGAAAGGAGGCTGTAGCCTAGTAGATATAACGGGGAAAATGTCCATTTTGGAGTTAAAAAACCTTATTGAGAAAGACATTAATATACCAGCTTCTCAACAAACCCTTATATTATTCGGGAAAAGTTTACAAGATGAGAAACTAGTGGAAGACTATCCAAAAATAAAAGATGGAACGAAGCTGTATGTTGCCGTTAAAAAAGCAGAATCCTTAAACACAGTTCTGAATGTATTCCTTCGAAAATACTACAATGAAGAACAGAGCAAGATCATTGTAGAAGAATTCATGAGGAACTTCCATTCTAAAATCAACAGCCTTAGTTTGGATGATCTAGAAAGGATAGCCAAGTCTGAAATTCAAAGTTAACAAGTACATATTGGGTATGGAACTTTCCACATAGATATCTGAATCTACTGCAGAACATGACATAGTTTTCATCAACAACAGAAGTGACTAATGTATTGAAATTGTTCCTAAACTTTATGGAAATGGTGAAACATATTTATAACTTTTATACTGTTGATTTTATTTGAGTGTATCCTGAGGTGTATCCATTCCTAATGAGATAATGATGACTTCTTTACTGCTTCTTATCTTTTATGCATTTCATTCCCTAACCAGGTGAAATTTGCCTGTAATTATATTTGGTTTGAAAATGTTTGCTTTGCTGCACTTCAAACTTTACTTCAGTAAATTGTAAATTATATCAGGTATGTATATTTTATGCTTATACAGGGTGTTTCAAAAAAACCTAACCCCCTTGTAGGGTAGGTAGAACATTGCAAAATAAGTTAGGTTTGCTCAGTAAAAAAATGTCATAAAGCCATCCGTTTTCAAGATTATAGGGATTCCCTTTCGTGCGCTCCAAGCGATAAAAAAAAAGATACAAAGTGTTGAAAACAATATTTTTTTTACACATTTTTCACGATTACTCCGAATCTACTGGCAACATTGTAATGAAAATTTGTATGGATGTATTTTGAAATCTGACACATCCCATGAATTTGTTTTTATATCTGACTCTCATAGAGGGCGCTAGTTACACGGTTCCTACCCAAGGATTATAAACTACTCTCCTTGGTTCGTACCGAGTAGTTTTGAACATAACTTTTTTTAGGTTAGATTTTTCAATCCAAATATGATAAATGAACTTGAACTACTCCTGATGAAACTCGATACTATGTTCCGTTTTCGGAATATTTCGATTTGAAAATAATGGAGTAGTAATGATGCTGGTATAAAATGAATTTTATTGAGTTGAATTACCTATTTATTCAGGTTCAAAAACAATAAAATCATTCTTGTGCTGAAGTTATTGATGGAACAAAGAATCATAAGTAGAAAATTAAGGGATATTCGACTAGAAACATGAAATATTGATTAAGAGATTAAAAAAAAAAGTCTTTCGATAACTTGAGGCTTTCTTTTCAAATATTCTACATAATTTTTTTCGAAAATTTTCGATGAAACAGTTGTCTTAATCTTCACGGCTATCCAGAAAAATGTTGGGTTTTTTGACTTTGACACTGACCTCACGTGTTAGTAGCGCCAACTGGTGAGAGTGAAAATGTTAGCCCCCATTCATTTTCATCCACTTGGTGAACAATATGAACACAAGGATATCAAAACCATTTAGTACTAGATTTCATCAAAAAGTACTTCGGTGCCGAACATCTTCGAATAGTACTAAATCTAGTACTAAAGTATACTGACTTGGAACCACAATCTCAAAATCTCAGGCTATATTCCGATCATCATGAAAATAGACTGGTGTAACCACTTGTCAATTGTTTTTTTCCAAAACGTGTAGACCGTGATATACCGTAGCAAGGCCGCACTGGATTGATTGTAGATGGCGTAGGGAACATCGTGCCACATAAACTTCACAGATATAATGAAAATTTCACGTCTTTTTCATTAAATCAATCACTTTTCCTCAATGTTTTTGAATTACGAATTAATATACGTAAATGTAAACAACAAAACAAAACAACCATTGTGTAGCAAGATCACTTCTGGAACAGCGCCATCTAGCGATAGTTTTGCGCGGCCTTACTACGGTGATAGAATTCGATATAATCAAGTAGGCCAGAGGTCTACAAAAATTTCTAGGGTTTTGTAAGAGGGAGCTTTTTCACCATACATATATCCACCTTTATTCCGATATTCCGAATTCAATTCAACTAATCAGTACCATCAGTAAATCGACTGACTCCGCTGAAAATCTGTGGTTCGGAACATGTTTTCATGGTTTTCATCAGTGATCAGCAGCAATTGATCAGCTATCCTGAACTTTGTCAGTTGTCAGGTTGTCATCAGTTGTCACTATTATCAGTATCAGTATGTTGTTTCTGATTCTGATATTAAAAATGATATAAGCAATTTATTATTGACATTATTTATAAATGTGACATCCCTTTTTCTTCTAAAATAATGACAGTTTGCTGATTTGATCGTCAGCAATTTCAGCAGAATGTTGGATCGGCGTCGAAATATTTGTAATATGTACTTGTCTATTTGAGTGAATTTTGTCATTTGAATGAAAAACCAGCATATTCAATACCGAGATGTTTATAATTTCTCTGGTGTGCCCACTCTTCAATTGTTTCGTCAGAATAGGTCTCGACCTCGACATGAACAATTGAATGCGAATTCGGAACGTGGGGTTTTCATATTCGATGATAGATGGCGTGAACGATAGACAATTTCTTGAAAAATTTCAAAATGCGTTCCGAATCTTATTGTGAAGTTGAACTAAACTTTCAACGATGTGTTTTCCTTCTTTCGGGGCCTGAAGAATTCTGTTGATGATGCACGAATTCAATAACAGTTGATGAGAAACATCTACAGACAGAACATGGACAGAACGCAAAAGAGACAGGGCACAACAAATAATCCGTACAGAAACATCTTGATTTTGACTGAATCTTGACACATCTGTAACGAGTGTCATGTTTTTGGCATATTCAAGATTTTGTTCAAATTTCAAATAGGAATATTATAAATTGAGAGCATTACTAGTTTATCAAGCGGGTATTGATATTATATTATTAGTTGAGTGAGAGTATTAGTAAATTAATACACTATTATCGGATGAATGTGTCATGAGGCCTGTAAATTTGTTTTGAAACTTCGAAAATTTAGCAAGATTCTCCCACGCCTCGCCATTTTTACAAACTAGGCGATATCAAGGGATTTCTAAACTCCTTTCGATAGGAAGTGAACATCTATTTCAGTACTGTCACTTGAATTCCACCACCATTTCGTAATTTTCGCCGCCAGCACCATCTATTAAACATTTTCTGATACTTATTCGTATACGTTTCTGTATTTGTAGACAAGTTGGAACTGCAACAAATAGATGGCAGGACTATTCAGTCAAGGCAAGGTTGGTACAACTGATGATAATGGTTGCACTGATTGATAGTGCGGAAAGGGGGGGAAATGGTCATTTGTGACGTCACAGGCAGTGAGGCAGTAAGATGATAAGTAAGATGTCAACCTCGAAGCGAAATCTCATGAAATGTTGTTTACTAAATAGTGTACAAACCTCTTGGTCTGCTCATTATATTTATATTTATCCATCCATAGTATATTTTCATAATTACCATTATAAAATATGGATATTTATATATATATACACCAAATATACCTCTGACTCATATCATCAATTCTGATTTGAAAGACAATCAGAAATATTCTTGTACATGTCTATCAGAACTAGAGAATTGATACGTCGTAAGTGGTGTTCTCGGATGATTACGTCACGCATTTTCCCGCGTTTTTCATGTCATGAAATATCGTGAATTTTAATAATTATTTAAAGAAGTTACAGAGCTCTGAGGAAGAAACAGTTTGCGACAGTAAACTTGAACTAGTTAGGGTTAGGACTTCGAAATGATAAAATACAATGTTTCACTGAAACAAGCCTATTCGTGCTATCTGGAAATACACCCTGGTATTTCTATTCGAATTCTATTCTGTGCACCTATATTCATCAGAGCAGGCGTCATAAATTCCGACTACATACGAGATGGGATGCTTTCCGGCATTACTAAATCACTGCAATCCTGGAAACAGAAACGAAGCCGTATAACCGTAATTTATCGATGAATTCCAAATTTCCAAAGGTCGTATGTTTACTTCTTATATAGAATTCGACCCCCTGGAGACGGCCAGTTTAGGTCCGATTTAGATCTGAACATCCTTCAAGACGTACTGAAAACGTCAAGTTTTAGACGTACTGGGTACGTTCGATTCCGATGTACTGGGTACGTCCAATTCTGGACGTTTTCGACTGTCTGTGGACGGGATTGGATAAGGATAATATACATTCTATAATGATAATTGAAATCATTGTATATAATTTCTTCCGTTCGATCTCTGATATCTATTCATATAGAAACCCAGTTCAGTGTATACCAGCAGGACAGATTCCTGTCATTGGAAAATGAAATCAGAGGGGGGCGACTGCTGGACCACTCCGGGATACTGTGTGAAACAAAAAATCACCAAACTCTAGGAATGGTTTCCGACATGTTGGCCACTCAGACACACGTGAAAAAGACTTTCAAAGTCCTCTTCCCGAAGAGAGACGAATGGGCAAGCGGATTAGTCCGATTCCCAGAGACCGAACACGTAATGTACACAGATGGTTCGAAAACCCCTCGTGGAGTGGGAGCCGGTGTGTTCAGCAGTAAACCGAAGACGGAAATTTCCGTCAATCTCGGCAAATATGCTACAATCTTTCAGGCGGAGGTATTCGCAATTGAATTGTGTGCTAGAGAGTTGTCGAATAAACCTCTAGTAAACAAAAATATCAGTATTGTATCAGACAGTCAGGCTGCTCTTAAAGCACTGAGCTCCAGCAAGATAAATTCCAAGCTTGTATGGAGCTGCATTGAATCCCTAGAAAGCCTGGGTGCTAACAACAGAGTCACTTTGCTGTGGGTGCCTGGACACCAGGGGGTGGAGGGTAACGAGAAAGCCGACATCCTCGCCAAACAGGGAACCGAATCTGTGTTCATAGGACCAGAACCATATTTTGGGGTCACCGCAAGTGCGGCGAAAACAACTATCTCGGGCTGGGCGGAGGGAAAAACACTCACGTACTGGTCCGAATTACCAGGATTAACCCATTCGAAGGCGTTCCTGCCTAAACCATCGGAAAAAATAACCAGGCAGATCCTAGAATGGAGCAGGGGTAACCTGCGAATTCTGACTGGACTGCTTACGGGACACTGTCGTCTAAGATACCACCTGGGAAGGATGGGTCTGAACCAACAAACGGACTGTCGGTTCTGTTGTGTGGAAGACGAAACGGCTGAACACATATTATGCTCATGCTCTAGCTTAGAAAGACTAAGGTTCGACACATTTGGCTTTACCAACCTAGAACCTATCGATTTCAGACAAATCTCACCCAATTCAACCATGAACTTTGTAAAAAGATGTGGATTGTACGGTGAACTGTAACCTCTAGGGGTGAGCCACAATAGACCCATCTGGGGTCGCAGTGGAGGGGAGGTGTTCGCCCCACTCACATGGAACCTAACCTAACCTATACCAGCAGGACGGGGCAATAAGGAACTGTTGTTCGTTATAAAATTGAACTTTTGTACGCTATGAGATGCGCCGCAACTTCATCTGATAATAAGAAAAACAAGTGAAAAGTATTTTATCCATCCACTGAATTGAAAGTAAGGCTTTTGCTCCCTCATGGAAGGAAACGGGAGGAGAAAAATATTAATTTCCGTCAGAGGAAAAATAAAATAAATTGGCTTCAGCATGCATCCTTTTTCGTCGATATACACCTATAAAATCTGATCAATCCAGGTGATCAGTGTCTTTATCATTATAAAACAAATAACAATAATATATATTATTATGCTGCTTCATATTCCCAACGTCCTTCTAATCAAAACTTCATGAATGGGGTTCCACAATATACAAATCAATCAACTCATGATGACTGAAGCGTCAAATTAACTTTCGTTCAAATGCTGTCAATTGATCATGGCATTATACCTTTGTAATTCATAATGATTTGGATTGAAAGATAGACCGCCTGAAGCACAAATTCAAGAATGATGCTTTGAAAAAATGCGTTCGTTTATAAAATTATATATATATATATATATCATGAGAGCAAAGGTTCCTTTCCTCCCAGGTGTGTTTAATGCCCTAAAGGTTCATTTCCTCCCATGTGTGTTTAATGCCCTCCACTACGCGTCGTGCATCAAACTTCATATGCGGGAGGAAAAAGATACCACGAAAGGAAATCCCTATAATGTTCAAAGAACATCGTGCGTTCCTAGGGAGGATAGGGACAGGAGGTAGGTATCTGATTTTTTTTTAACTTTTGGAGATTATATGTATATATACTTCCTCAGGCAATGAATTCCAGAGCCTAGCCGTTCTATATAACGTAATATATAACGTGATTATTGGTATTTATTGTTATTGGTAGGTTGGATGGTGACAGATGCGCTGCGACCTAATTAGATCTATTAATTGTGCCCCATCTGCTTCTGCTATATCAAGGATTTCTTGTTTATAGCAGCCTCTCGAGATTCAATTCCTTCAGGAATTTGAGGATTTTGAGGGGGTCCAGCTGTGGTATTTCTTCCACAGTCAGCTGGTGTGTCCCCAGTATGTTCAATCTTTTGTGATGTACAGCGTCACACTCCATCAGTATGTGATGGAGTGTTTCTGGTTCTTCCTCACAGAATCTGCAGGTGCCGTCCTTCTGTAAGCCTAGCTTCCTTAGGTGTTCTTTGAGTCTGCAATGCCCCGTTAGGAATCCCGTTATTGCTTTGAGACTTCCTTTGCTGAGGTTTGTCAGTGTCTTAGATCTTTCTCGGTTGAAATTTCCAAGGAGATCTTTAGCCTGCCGTAGTCCTGGAAGTCTTCTCCATTGTCTGGCTCTCCAGGCTCCTTCCGCCTTCTCAAGTTCTCCTTGAAAATAGGAATGTCCAAGGCCGCAGAATGGCTCTGGTCCGATCAGTGGCGTTGAAGCCCCTTGTCGTGCCAGAGTGTCTGCTTGTTCATTCCCCTCTACTCCAATATGCCCTGGCACCCAGAGGAGGATCACTTTATTGTCGCTTCCCAGCTCATTCAATTTGCTTAGGCATTCCCATACCATCTTCGAGTTGATGTAAGGAGAGCTCAACGCTTTGATGGGTGCTTGGCTATCGGATAAAATCGCGATGTCCTTCTTCCGGTATTTCCTGTCTAGGTTGAACTGGATGCATCTTTCTATGGCGTGTATTTCCGCATGAAAAATGCTGGGGAATTGTCCCATGGATTCGAAGTATTTGGTGCGAGGCCCAAAGACTCCTGCTCCAGTTCCCTCGGGTGTTTTAGACCCGTCCGTATACCAGGTAATGGTGTTTCTTCCTAGTGATTCGATGGATTCTATGCTCCATTCGCGCTTGTTGCTCAGCTCCACTCGGAAGTTCTTCTCAAAACTGAACTTCCTAATGATTTGGTCTGTTGGGAGATCGGCGAGGTGTGCGATCTCAGTGGGGGGTGACGTGATAGTTATATTCCATTTTTTAGAGAATAAGAAGGAGATCCTGAAGAATCTATAGGGAGATGTGAATTATTTTGTTAACAAATAATCGCAGAAAAAAGGGAATAATAAAGTGAATATGGATAATTTTAAAAATGTCACAACAAGGTTGAAGTGATGTAAATTATTGCGGTTGGGTAGTGTCAATTATTTTCATCAAGAGGGTTACTCACTGACTAATGCCTCTGTTTTCCCGGAATTTTTCAGAGATTTCCTGATTCATTTCAATATTTTCATCTCATTCCTTCAAAAACATCACTTAAAAGCAAAACAGTTACTCACCACTGCGGTATAGGACATTTACTTGATAGAAAATAATCGGTTTTATCATTTCTTTGATACTTTCAAATGACTGAAGGCGCCAGTTTTCAAAAATTCAGGAAATCCTGAAATTTGGTTCCTTATTCAGGTGTATTTTATGTTTGATACCTGTATTATTATGTTGCCTGACATATCAAACATTTTAAAAGAATTTTATGCACTAGCGGGCGGTAAAGTGCACTTTATCGCTCAGATTTGCGAGCGTAAAGTGGCACTTTACCGCCCGCTGTTCTCAAGTCCCTCATATCCACACATCCATTTGTGGAATACGTATATTTGAACTCTCAGCTGATTCTATCGTTATGATTATGATACATGTTATTGTTCATCCGATTCCATCTTCGCTATAACTTCCTTCTTTGAATAGTTGCTTTCTGGCTGTCTGAAGTTTTTAGCCAAAAGATGATAATTTTAGCTTGTTTTTTGGATGTATTGCTAGACAGCAACCATCAGATTGATTGACAACGTCAAATTTAGGTAGCAAGGTATATTGGGTATACATATTGTTACATCTCAAGTAATGAATCTCTGTTATAGTGAACATAAGTTTTACTCTTACGATAATTGCGATTTCCGTACGGTAATTTTAATATGTAGATTATACACATAATCATTGCGGTTCTCTAGAAAACTGAATTTATGAGTAAAATATGAATTGTAGTTTGTTGAAATCTAGTCATTACTTGTGACTCGGGAAATAAACCACTAGTGCATACAATTTTGTATGTATCTCGTGCGTAAAATGCGTTTATAGCCTTCGGCGTGTGATGGCCCTCGGCTAACGTCATCGGGCCATTATTCATGCCGCAGGCCATAAACGCCAACTTCACGCCCTTGATAAATAAATATCTATTTTCAATTTTGAGAATATTGATCTCATCCGTTATGTGTGTCATTGAAACCTACAGAAAGATTTACTGTGCAATCGTTTTTTGAAGAAAATCAGGGGGGAGGGAACAATTGCCCCGTCCTGCCCCCCTCATACCTAAATGACGCCCATGTAGAAACCTTGCAAACATGAACATAAAACAATTATCACAATTCATTTTACTGGCCTTACTATAATCACAAAACATCTATCAGGTATTATCTGCCGTGAACATCTAATAGTAGAGGAGGCAAAGAGGCTTAGTAGGGATTAACTCGAGCGTCGTGGGGACCAATTAGATTATGAAGTTAATATAGTAAAAAGAAAGAAGTTTATATGAGGCATGCCTTTTCACTGGTGGGGGAAGCGTGTACAGGTTTTCGAAAATGTTGAAAAAACAACCATTTCGGAGAGAGTTGATCACATTATGTCGGACCTCCCGTTTTTTTGGAAATGGAAACTTTGTGTTGATGTTCTCAGATTATATACCGAGCGGCTGGGATGTTTATACAGGGTGTAGAATCTACAACAGATATTAAATGGTGTGGGCTCGGACTATGATGGTGGCAGAATGCAGGAGAAAAACAGTTAGATAGTAAATATACTATAATCAAAGAAATAAATTACATTATCGATCAAAACTCTGACGAATTCAAATAGTTAGAAATCTCAAACCTCTGATGCCTTTTCACTTATAACCCAAAGTTATTGAAATCTCTTTTAACTCAAGTAACCTCTCTATCAATTCATCAAATCAAAAATAATCAATAATCGTGAACCAGTATCAAATTACCATAGGTTTTCCTATATATAATAAAAACTCTCAAGTCAATGTTTGTATCCATTAAATCAACGAATAAACTTCCCTTTATGAACTTTTTCATAGAATACACCCAGTAAAACTATCTTTATCGAAATTAAACCATACTTCTACTTTAAGCCCATGTACTATAGCTAAAATCTCCCAAGTACTTTCATATTATCCCTTATTTCAATACATCTCATCTTATTCATATAAATACTTGCTCAATCAAAAGTTGAACACTGTCCATTTAATTAACGTTAAAAAGTCATGTTGAATGTCCAAAACACTTTCAGTTCTGTAGTATGTAGTAGACTGTTCTTTTAGTAAACAGAAAAGTAACGTATTGTTACGTTATTCGGGTGCAGAAGCGAACACGACACTATTTATTTTCGAACAGATTTATTTTAACTTGAGGAACTCTAATTTATATCGAACTTGAAACTACTATTTGTAAGAAATGATTTATCACGCGGTATATGACTGTTTCTCTGACACTCGCTGCATGACTGACTGCAGTTGTCCGGCCGCCCATATACATGAGATCCCTTGGCAGGCTTTGCTTCTCGAACGTTCTCGAATGATCTTCCGTACCCCTCTTTTTGCTCTAGATTCTAGAAGCTTCTTAGAACAATACCTCTCTCTCTCTAATTGTTTCATCGATTGTTTCCAGAACATTCCAGAATCTTCTGTGATGTTATTTGTTACCGCGAAATAAATTGAGGGTTCGATAATATGCTGGTACATGTAGGAATCATTGGGATGTTGGAGAACAATCTGAGATGCGTGTTACAGGATGATCGTTGTACTCCTGGCTTCCTGATGATGTTTCTAGAGCCCCTCTAAGGGGAATATCATTACACCATTTCCAACAGAATAGAATCAAACAAAACAAACATTCTCATACAAAAATAATCATATTCGTATTTCTCAATTGAAAAATACTCACGAATATCACACAATACAGTCACATGGTTGCTTTTAAGAGTTGTGTATATAAAAAACAGGAAGAAATACCTAGTAAAAATGAACAATAACAAATATAAACGAATGAAAAAACTGAACGTAAGAAACAAATTGTTATAACCGAAGTATATAAAAAATTCAATTTGATATGAATCAGATGAAGTATTGTCCTTTTTATGGTTTATCATATCAATAGTGAGTACATACTTGAATGTACATTCATTATTTATTTTGTAAAATTAATTTAAACAAAGCGTGCCAAAACATCATACAATTTATGAGTGTATGTGATGGACCTGGTGATCAATAATATATAGGTAATTTCAATAATGAATAAGTGTCATAGAATTTTTCAGTAGATTATGAAATGTTTTAGTATAGATCAGTAGATCGATATGCAAATCAGGAGATCTACCGAAAATTCAGTAGAACTGGCAACCCTGCAGCGGACGAAGTGTTTGTGGACGAAAAGTTAGTGTATGCGGACGAAAAGGACTTGCCTTCGGAAAAAGTCGGTTTTTCGTTGGGAAATTAGAACGTGAAATGTGTTTTTTTGTTAAGCTTGACGAAAAAATCCTGTTTTATATATTATGTATAATACTTATTCCCCATAATTATCATCTTATCTTTCCAAGTTGTATTTTCAGTAAGGAATAAAAAACTTGGGGCAGCTTTTTATTCAGATGCCGCACATTTCTCTCTTCCGCCTATGATTTATTAGAATGGAAGGGAGATCGGACAGCGAGATTGGTGATGAAAAAATATGATGTAAGCCCTGATGAAATTCTCCTGCACCTACTTTCACACCTTAGTCATAAATTATGATTGTCCTGACGTCCGGTTTGGGTCAGTAGGATGGATACCTACTGAAAATATGATAATTAATGGCTTTATAAGCACCCGCGTGTCCCAATCATAATGCATCATGCATATTCAGAATGAGAGATGGATTTTGGAAGCCATTTCACTATACTGTTTGAAATTAAAAACTCGTTTTTCGTTATGAGGTAGTAGTAACAGACTATACAGGAACTATACAGGGACTACATTGGACAAACTAGTCAAAGCATAGGTACAAGATTTAGGGAACATATTGCTCACTTCAGATAATATATTCATTTTGATGAATCAAAGTTGTTGTCGACACATTGTCGAAAATATTAAGTACTCCTCGTCAAGCAATGCCTTGGAAATGTTTTTATGAAAATAGATGATATGTGCAAAAAATATGAATATTCATAACCTATAATCAGAATGCACATTTTCGAAAAACACTTCGTAACTTTGAAACGAAGGAAGACATCAATATGCGGTTTTCATCATTGAGTTCGTCAGGCAATACATCTGATTTGTCCTTAAATGTTTAGATTCAAACACGTGCAGGCTGTTTTCCCTATCAATTTTATTGATATTTTTCTTTTCACTAGCGCTTTCATAAGGGCACGGGGAAACCCTATTGTGAAAACCTGTTAATTCATGGTGTTGTCAAATTTATTCGACAATTACCCTTTATATACCATTTTGGTATATGAAATTTCCATAATATGAACTGTATTCGCTCTCAGTGCACGGGGCTCTTCATTCATTGAGAACCCGTTCAATTACTCATGAACTTGATTTTTCGACTATAAGCATTGACAACAATTTTACAGCTAGTAGCATCACATTTTTCCAACTCCAAACCTTTTAATTATGCTGAAGATGGTCTTCCATGGGACCGAAACACGTTCCTTCTGATTGTGTAACAATACCATTGAAATTTGTGGAGATGACTTCAAGCATGCCTTCCTTCCTTTGGATTCAAGAGAGGTAGTTGGAAGTCACTGAGATGCTTGAAATTCTGTGCTAATACATGGCATCCATTCAAAAAAATTTTTCTCGACTCTCCATATTCTTCTTGTTGCACTCTATATTTGCGGCAATAATTCCTCGGCGAATACCCTGATAACTAGTTACCATTCGTTTTCGAATTATGTTTCTAGCTTTCATAGGACCCGAACAATCGAACTCTGACGCACTAGCCCTACCCTGTATAAGCAAGAGATATAATAGAGATTTGATCTTCATTATGCAGAATACACATTTTATGTATTTCCTCAAACTTCAGACATGCAATATCCCTGGTCCAGGTGCCAAATTGAATTTTTCATATCTGACACCCTTCTTGACAACGGTAGGTATATAAAAAAATGAAGATCGAATGATGACGATTAATTTTTCTATAATCTGGAATGTGAATGATGAAGTATTATACAAAGTTGGAAGAGGATAATTACTAGTTGATTTCAAAATCTGAGGAAATGTATACAGGGTGTCAATCACCATTCTGGAATATTTTACGTTTTTCCATCTTGACTGCCATGTTAACAGATCATTCGTTTCTTCACACTGCAATCTCCAACATTTCTATTCCAGGCGCAAAATTGAAATGATCATTTGACACCGTTCTTGGCAAGGAATTCGACGATGCCCTGCACAAACCTCTGGAAGACTCCCTTCATGTATTCAACCGATGACTTCATCTTGCTTGAGTTGAGTTTTTTTTCACAATCATCTCGACTGCCATGTTTACAGATTATTTGATTCTTCACATTCCAAACCTCCAAGATCCCTGCTTCAGGCTCCAAATTGGGTTGAGTTATTATTCACTACTACTGCCACGTTTACAGACTATTTCTTTCTTCACATTTCGAACCTCCAGGATCCCTGCTCCAAGCGCCAAAATGGAATGATCATTTGACACCGTTCTTGGCGACGAATTCGAGTTAGGTCATCATCTACTGTCATCTCGATTGCCACGTTCATAGATAATTTCTTTCTTTACACTTCAAACCTCCAATATCCTTGCTCCAGGCGCCAAATTGAGATGATCATTTGACACCGTTCTTGGCGACGAATTTGGGTTGAGTAATTATCTACAACCATCTCACTGCCACGTCTACAGAGCATTTCTTTCTTCATACTTCAATCCTTGATATCCCTGCTCCAGGCGCCAAATTGAAATGATCATTTGACGCCGTTCTTGGCGACAAATTCGATGATGCCTTGCACAAACTTCTGAAGGACTGCCTCCATGGATTTTGCAGCGTCGATGACTTCGTCATGCTTGGGTTCCACCTTGCTTTCGTAGTCGCACACGGACTCGTTGGTGACCAAACTGAAGGCGAATACGGGCAAACCGCAGTGTTTCGCCACAATCACCTGAAAAGAATATGGAGTGGTCGACTTAGTACGAGATAATCGATTCAACTTACAGGACGTTGAAGTTGAAAGAGGGAATTGATTCCACTTCAATAATTATTCAACAGCATGACAAACAATGAAGATATTTTAATGACAAACTTGACATCTACCATATGGATGTATAGAGATTTTCAATTGATCTGAATTTCAGAGGCGCCGTAATAGGAGGATAGTATCTATCGATAGTATCGATCAGTTAATAAGACTGACGTTCGAAAGTTAGGGTAGAGTTCTTCTTTTCTATATATACATATCTGTGGAATCTAAGATGGTATTGCAACGGTTTCCAAATAGTTTGGGTTTGAATAAAATCTAGATCATTATTAGGAATATTAGGACATTTTTATTGGCAAAGAAAAATCTTTCAAGATATACAGTGGCCCACTTGGGATCAGAGCACCGTTATGAAATCTATATATTTCATATAACCAATTTATTTTTTCCTTGTTTCAGCAGAAAGAGTATCTGAACATCTACGTTTACACAAATTTGCGAAAAATAATTCAAAATTTTCGGGGAATACTATGTTACTTTTCTAGGTTGAAGATTACGAAATATCATTGACGTTTTTTATTTCAATGAAAATCGACCCAACCACAGAATTTAGCTTCCTATGAACGCCTTATTCTATTTAAACATTTTGATTGGTAACAAAGTTCTAACAATATTAATTTTGGTAACTTAACATTTTTTATGAATATTTCAGACAAATTCGAGGTGGCAACAATGTCAACTCAGATGATCATTGAGGTTTATGGAAGTCATTTGAATCATCAACACAAATTGTTATCGAGTTATAAGATCTATAATGAAATTTATAGGGTATTCATGAAATGTTCATGAAATGAAAAAGAGAAGTAACACCCGAAGGACTCAAAAATACTGTGAAAAATATTCAACAGGGATATAAAAACTGTATTCAACTGAATTGTGGTTTAGTTGAAGCAACAAAAACTTGAGATATATTGATTAGGGCTAGATAATTAGGGACCGATATTATTCGTACGATGGCAAGGTGAAAAATTGGCAATAATAAAATTTAAATAACATGATTATTTGATACGGAGATTCTTGGTTGATGATTATTGTGACAAGCCGCTTTCCATGGATTTTTTATTTTATGGATCATTTCATGAATACCAAGATAAATTTCAGTTTGGGTGTAATGATACGATAATAGTTTGTGTTATTAATTCAAATAACTACCAGAAACCTCAATAATTTCCAACATTTGTGTTTACAATGATGCTTTTCAGAATTTGTTTGGAATTATTATAAAAAAGGGTGAGTTACCGAAAAATAACGTAGCATGCCCTGGAAATCGGAATTATATTTGCGAATTCATTTAAATGTAGTTCTTCGGATACCCTATCTGCTCCAGTTTCAAGTGGGTCACACTGTATAAGTATTCAATAGGTGATTATCAGGAATCAAGTGGAACCATTGTCTTCTGTAAACAGTGGATGTGAATACTATTGTCATGGGTCATATTGCATCTTTCAAGGTGATTAGGTAATTAATAGTTATGAATTTGGCAGCATCGCAATAATATGTGGTTATGCTCTTATTGGTTTCAATTTGTCAAAGCACTAGAGAACCGCCCAGTGAGAATGAGTAACAAATATGACTTCAATAAAAAAATAGTGAAAGTTTTGAATCGATTACGTCAACAAAAAGAACGTTAGAAGGCCTTCGTTCAGTTGAAATAATAGTTACGTTAATGTAATGATAATTGGAACATGAAGGTTACCTGAATACAATGAACTTTGAGTAACGTAAAAAAGATTTTGTTACGTTGAAGGACATCAAACGTTACTAGAAGAAACTGGATACTTCATTGTGCCCTATATCTTAACGTAACGTGTAATCAAGGTTACGAGAATGTGATGAAACTGGTATGATTTCTTGTCCAGTGGGTACGTAGGTATTACATTTCTGCTCTGAAGAAAGATGAGAAATAGGTTCATAATTGATAATTTACTTTTTTTCGTATTTATTCACGAAAAATATACTAACAATATACTATCAAGATAAAAGAGAATTTCCAGCTTTTGTGGAATGACTAACTCTAAACTGTCGCTAGCTCCCAGGCCATGAGTGGTTAAATAGTGTAGTGTACTCATTGTGAATGAACTGAATGAACTGAACAAACCTCGTGAACTGTCGACATTCCGACAGTATCAACCCCCAACTGTCTCAGCAGGCGGTTCTCGGCGATTGTCTCGTAGCAAGGCCCCCCCAAACACGCGTACACCCCCTCGTGCACCCCCTTGGCCAAGCCCGCTCCCTGAGCGATTTTCTGAGCCTCTGCCCTGAGCCGCGGGTCGTAGGCACCGTTCATGCTCGGAAAGCGCGGACCGAACCGCTCTTCGTTTGGGCCCCGGAGCGGGTTGCAGCCTGCGAAGCCCATCAGGTTCACGTGGTCTTTGATGAGCATCACGTCGCCCACCTGGAGAGATGGATCATTGTTCTGAATAAAAACCTAGTAGACGAAAGGTATAATATTGTCTGTTCATTGATCCACAATTTTGTCTGTTTGTGAGTGAAGCTAGTTTACTGGAAACATGGAAGGCTCATTTATCTCAATAAAATATTGGTCAAAATAGACAATTCTTAGTTGAATTTTTCTAAACGTCAATTTGGACAAACTACAATTTTGATTGAATTGTTCAGTTTCAAGGTGTATAGGTAGTTGTTGATTTGTAGTGGTTTGTTGTTTGTTGCATTTTGCTTCTACGATAACAGGTACAGGTATGTGAATTCTTCAACACTCCAATGATCTTCAACATATTATTACGTTATTCGGGTGCAGAAGCGAACACGACACCATTTATTTTTGAATTGATTTATTTGAACTAAAGAAACACTAATTTATAACGAACTTATAACTACTATTCATGTGACACGATTAATATCACGCGGTATATGATTGTCTCTTTGACACTCGCTGCTCGACTGACTGACGGCAGTTGTTCGGCCGTTTATATATGAGATCACTTGGCAGGCTTTGGTTCGAGAACGTTCTCGAATGATCTTTCGTCTCCTTCTTTTTGTTCTATATAGAAGCTTCTTAGAACAAAACCTCTCTCTCTAATTGTTTCATCGATTGTTTCCAGAACATTCCAGAATCTTCTGTGAAATTATTTGTCACTGCGGCATATATTGAGTGTTCGGAAATATGCTGGTGCATGTAGGAATCATTAGGAGGTTGGAGAACGATCTGGGATGCGTGTTACAGGATGATTGTTGTACTCCTGCCTTCCTGCTGATATTTCTAGAGCCCCTTTGAGGGGAAAATCATTACAGTATGGTAAGAGTTTCTTTTCGAGCCAATAATGAATTGATATTCCAGTAATGAAGATGATATTTAGCTATTATCAACGATATGAAAGTTAATAAACTAGTCAACGAGGGTGAAACGGATCAAAATCTGAGTCTTTTTAAGCGCTGCAACGAAAGAACATATCACGAGAGTGTGAGAAAAAAAATAATTCGTATATCATTCATCTAGAACTCTGGAAAAAGATGAAAAATTCAACATGAACGATTTTTCAAAGAAATTCCGAATTGTTTTTTTTTTCATTTATTTTCCTTTGAACGACAGAAGTACCTTTGGTATAGGAATAGTTAGCCTAGAAGAATACATTACAAAGTAATAGGTCATATGGTAACAGTGCAATAAAAGCTATCCAGTATGCTGGACAGTTCTGACTGAATTAAATTCATCAATGGAGTAAAAACCATGTTCTAACAGAAACGATTTCAAACCAAAATTGAATTGTTTAATATCACAAGATGTTTTGATATCATGTGGTAGATGATTGGATATTCTGGGGCCTGAATAATTCGGAGAATTCTGTGTTATTGTATACCTGGCAGCAAGGGTGTGAATTTCATTTTTCCTACGAGTATTGATATTGTGCAAATCTTCATTTGATTTGAAATTGTTCCTATTATTGTAAATATAAACGGCTAGTTCATAGATATATAAACTAGCAAGGGTTAAAATTCCATGAGAAGTGAAGATAATTCTACATAAAGACATTTTGGAAGTACGAAAAATGCAACGTAACATATATTTTTGTTTGATAAATACATTTTTGGCTACGGTTGAGTTGCCTCACAAACAGATGCCGTATCTCATTCTGGATTTTTTTCTTGCTGAACAGTGAAATCAGTGCTCGTGCTTGATCTCGTTCTCCAGAAACAGTGTGGAAATACCAGGAAAAAGCGATTTGAAAATTTCGAAAAAGTGTGATCCATAAAACTGTTCTATGTGACATCACATCCATAGTGGAAATTCACAGAAAAATCATCAACGAGAAGTAAGAACATGATCTAAGTATTATTAATTCCAATATATTGCTGAACTGCCTATAAACTAGCATTAGTCCTGGTGAACGCTCGAAAATATATTCTTCCTACAAAAGTAGATGTTTCGTGAAACTGTTGTAAAATGCCAGGCAATGGAGAAATAACGCTACAACAAATTCTTGACGAGATAGTACAAAGTAAGAAAGAGTTATGAAACGCAATTCGAGCAAGTGAAACTAGAGTGAGGCTTGATCTGGAAACACTGAGGAACAAAGTATCATATTTAGAAAGAGAAAATGCCGAACTGAAAGGAAAAGTTGAGCTACTAGAAAAAAATTCCAAGAAGAATAATTTTTTAATTTTTGGGCTTAATAAAGCACAAAACGAAATAACGCCTGAAAACATCTGTGAAGAAATCAGAACACTCCTCGAAATAAATATAAACGAATCTGATATAAAAGATCTCTATACACTTGGCCGCTCAACTGATAGTCCGGTGAAGATAGAATTGGTGTCTCATATAAAAAAGAAGTTGATATTCGAGAATTGTAACAAGTTGAGAGGGACTAACATACATTTTGTTCATGACCTAACAACAAAACAAAGAGAAGAAAACAAAATATTGCGAAAATTTCTGAACAAAGCCAAAGAAACTCCATCTAATACAGCCTATATAAAGGGAAACAGGCTTTTTGTGAATAACTGCTGTTATACCGTCGAAGAACTAGAGGCAAGAGAAGAAGAAGAGGGAAACAATAATATAGAAACAAATAGTGCGCCATCAACACCTGATATTAACCTAAGTACCCTCGGCAGCACCTCTCTAAAACTAACTCTAAGTGAACATCAAAGTCAAAAAACAACTGAAAAGTGTGCACCGCCACCAGATACCTCTAAATTGAAGAAGACTGTGAGACAAGATAGCATCAAAGTTGATCCACCTGCCATCAAAGGAAAATTGAGGAGTTACTCAACATCAAAGGAAACAAGCAAATAACTTTTTTCGTTTTTCATTTATTCCAGTTGAATTCCAACTGATCAGTCTCAATTTGATTTATTATAACTCGATAAACATAACCTGCTAATTCTTTTCACCATCGCCCGTACTAATCAAATAATAGAATTCCTCTCATCCTTTTTTGTTTAAATTTCATCCGAATACTGGAGGCTTTTTGTTTTATTTTATTTATCTAAGTTATCTGATATGATATTTCAGCAGAAATTTTTTGTCAACTAGATTAGTGAAGGAAAGAGCAAGAATAAACATTTGTATTTATATATAGTAGGGATATATCTGTTACATATAAGGAATACTGAAATGGATAGTTATATCAGAGATTTTCAAATTCAAAAAATCGATAATAAAATAGCTGAAAACGTGCAACAAGTAAATTATCTTCTGAACAATGAAACATATCAAAATTTTAAAGTATTTCATATGAACATTAGAAGCCTTAATAAAAATCTAGATCATTTGAAATTGCTCCTATACGAGTGTAAACATGAATTCGATTTTATCATTCTATCAGAATCATGGAAGATTGCAGATATTTCACTTTATAATATTACGAATTACTATACGTTATATAATGAAGCCCAGTATAATCAAAATGATGGAGTAGTAATATATGTTCGGAAAAACATTGATCATAATTTCAAAATTATTAAATTAGGAGAAATAACCGGAATTGAATTGCTCTCAAAAGTCAATAACAAAAATGTGCTTATTCTAGCTCTTTACAGACCTCCTGCAACAAATATAAAATCCTTCAATGAAGAACTAGGTGAGTACCTCAGAAATTGCCCGAAAGTAGATATTCAAATTGTGATAGGGGACATTAATCTAAATATACTGGGTGATGATGATGAGGATGATAAGGATGATTACCTAAATATCATGGGCGAGTACGGTTATATTTCAGCAATAAATACAATTACAAGGACACAGGGGGAATCAAAAAGCTGCATTGATCACATTTTCATTAAGTATGGCGGAAATAGCAATGACATATTACCGATAGTTCTTAAATCCAACATAACGGATCATTTTGCACAAATTGCAAGAATTAAATTATTTGAATCAGATAACAACAAAAAAAGGGACAAAACACATATATATCTGAATAAAAACGAATTAGTAGAATGCATGAGGAAGGAAAACTTCTCTAGGGTTTATTCATGCGAAAATATAGATACTGCTACCAATATCTTTGTAGATACTATAAAGAAACACATACAAAAATGCACGAAAATTATCAAAGTGAAAAACTCCCAATTCAAAATAAAAGAGTGGATAACAGATAGTATTTTGAAATCTGTAAATCACAAAAATAAGTTACATGCAATAAAAGTTAAATACCCAACGCAAGAGAATATAAGCACCTATAAAAAATATAGAAATAAACTGAATGACGTAATCAAACAGGCAAAATCAAATTATTATCAGAATAAAATCTTACAAAGTAAAAATAATTCAACTAGTTTATGGAAATGTGTTAACGAAATCACGTCAAAAAAGAACAAAAATGATATTACATATGAAATTGTTGACAAAAATGGTGACGTAATTACGGATAATAAGCAGATAGCAGATGAATTCAACATTTTTTTTGCTAATATTGGACAAAAAATGGCAGAAACGATAAAGCAAAACACCAACTATGAGACAGAAGTTCTAGACCAATCGATCAATTCATTTTTCTTAGGAGATACAAATGAGGAAGAAATAAATGAATATATAAATAAACTAAAAAACAAAAAAGCGCCAGGCCATGACAACCTGACTGCAGAGACAATTAAACTCGTTGCCAAATATATTGTGAAAACTCTTGTATATATTATAAATTGGTCTATAAAAACTGGAATATTCCCATCTTCTTTCAAGGTGTCATTGATTAAGCCATTGTATAAAAGTGGAAATAAACAGAATGTATCAAATTTCCGTCCCATCTCATTGATCTCAAATTTTGCCAAAATTTTCGAAATGTTACTAAAAACGCGTATCACAAAATATCTATCCAAATATGCAATATTATCTGATAAGCAATTTGGGTTCAGGGAAAAAAAGTCAACGCATGATGCGTTACTATATGTAACATCTAGGATATGTAAGTGTGTTGATAAATCGAAACCCAC